AATCTCTAGATTTTGAAAGTCCTCCAAAAGACCTCAATTTAACATATGTTATACAACATGTCATAACTTGATTTAAGAACACAATACAAGTACATTTCATGTAAGTTACGGCCTTGAGTATTAAACTTTAATACAAGAAAAAATAATAAATGAAAGGTTTCAAAACCTAATCAAATATTCTATATTTAATATATGTGAAACTATATGCCATGCACATCAAGAATTTCAAGTCAGAATTCCAATGGAATAAATAGTACACTCGGAGCAATTTAATTAATCTAATTAATTAAATATTACTAGATTTCAAAACTTCTCCGATTACTCTCAAATTAATCTATGTTGAAGAGCATGCTAAGGCCTATTATAATGTGCTATCACATGTTAATTTAAAGCTAGATAAGGCCACATGATTTAATATTTCAAGATAAATATTAAATACAATCTTCATTACTTGTCCAAATAATCTAGATTTAACATATGTCAATCTACATATCAAGGGGTAATATTCTATCATGCCACATGATTAAACAAGCCTATGGACAACCGGGAAAATTAAATCCTTCATAAGAAAAATAAATAATAAAATCTCTAGATTTTACATCCAAGCATGTAATCAAGTTGTATAAGCATCACAAACATGTAATATAGCAAGAATTTAAATTATAACACCCCCTACCTTAATTTGAGATAAAAACCTCGAATCCCCACTGAAAAAAAAGTGTTCCGAATTCGCCGAAACCGAAGGGTTTTGTCGGGGACAACACGATCTACATGAATCTGAAGGAAGCCCTATGAAAATCACAACTTGACTTCAAACCTAAACTCAAGAAATGGTCAGAAATGAATTCTAATAAGGGGGAATGGTAGAACACGTCGAGGGGAACAATAAATGTAAAGGCCGAAGGATTTCTACCAAGGAAATCAAATGGAGGAGAAGGAGAAAGGGTGGCAGCCAAGGAGCTCCCATGGCTGTCGGCCAAGAGGTGGAGAAGATGAGTGAAAAAGTGATTTTTCACTTTAAGACTTTCTATTTATAGTAAGTCTCAAAAAGTGCCCCACCAGGTCCAGAAAAGTGAATTTTGAGCAAACGCGCTCAAACGGCAAAATTCCGTGAACGAAAAAGATTTAAAATGAGAAAAGATGAGCAACGGAAGAAACGGTGTCGTAAACCGAGCTTCGAGCAGAAGTTATGCCCCGAACAAGTTCAGCGAAAACCGGGTCCAAAAACTCTGAAACTGAAAAAAAAAAAACGACCAGAAAGAAATTCCAAGAGTCCATGACTTGACGAAATGTGAAAATAAATCCCATACGAGAATCCAAGCTCCAGACGAGACATTTTGCAATAACTTTCATTAATTGCACAATGGCCCCTACAAAAAGGGTTAACTGCGAAACTGCCCCAGAATAAAAATATCTTCCAATACCCCTAAAATAAAATATCTTTAAAAGATATTTATGAAAAATACCCCAAGAAATGAAAAAGATTCTGAAGAATTGTGCATCTATGCCCCTGTGGACACCGGGAGCAACCAGAGTACTTTCTTGCAAAAGTAAAGATGCGTATTTCGAGGAAACCACTGAAGATGAAGGTATGTGAAGTCAAAAACTCCGAGCACGAAAAGTGAGGTTTTGCCAAACAAGTGACAAATGGAGATAAGACAGAATAGGGAAAAAGACGAAATAGCGCATAGTGTCTGAAAAGTGAAAATGCAGAAATGACTCGGTCCTCAAAGGAAGTTGTCAATCCACGGAAAAGAGTCTCAGAAATCATTTCCAAGCACTCGAGACGACACTAAGCGACAAGAAAGAGAGTTCAGAAAGGAAAATTAAACGAAAAAAATTCATTCGTAAAATTTCAGGAAAAAGGAAAGGGAGGTAAATGACCAGGTCGCTACACTAACAACAAATTTCTATCGCGCTATCCAAGAAATTTGAGTTATCTTGTGACTCAGAGTTAGCGTAAAGCTACCTAAAAAGATGAAAGGTACGAAAGCTCACATGGTTTTAAGTCTCCAGTAATAAATTTCTAGATTCTTGGGAGATTATTCACTTCTTTCTTTCAAGCTGCGACTTTGTGCAAAAATATTTCTACTTCTAGATTCTCATGGTGCAATGTCTATCATTATATCACCTTAGTAACAAGCTCAATTTCAATCTAGAATAATGACATCTCTTAACTTTCACAAAGTAGAAAAATAGGATTTATTTATTTATTTATATATATATTTTTTTGTGAAAAGATTTTTTAAAAGAGGTACATGTTTTGATAAATCTGTCTTACCCCCAAACAAAATAAAACACTGTCCCTGGTGTTTGAAAAATAGAGCATTGAAAAATGGTGAATGAAATATACAATGTACCACTGGAGATAAAAATAAAAATTGAAACGAATTACCTCAATTGATTTGGTGCTTCTGAAGTACAATCCCTGCATATAGTCATTGCAAAAGAGATGCCAAGTGTTCTGAAATTATGACAGATTGTACCCCCAAACAAAATATAAGCATAGCTAAAGAAATAGAAACAAGGAATTGGGTTGCCTCCCAGGAGCGTTAAGTTTAACGTCTTCAGCCAGACGCAAAGGGGATAGTATCCCCAGAGAGATCAATCAGAATAGATAGGATCGATAAGGAGAATTTCCTCAATTTCATGAGACTCGAGCTCAAGGAAAGGTTTTAAGCGATGAGGATTAAAGGTGAGTATTTATGGACTTATCGTTATCAAATACACTCCATATCAACATATAAAATACCTACAACCATTTAACTAAAAATGTCTAATGGCAAGTAGGGTCGAACCACGCATTCAAGGTGAATTTCTATTTTCAAACAAGAGATTTAAAAATATTGATTTTCAGATTTATCACGAACTATGGAAATGGAATTACAACTATAAAACATTAAACACTCGAATTAGAAATTAAATGAGAATGAAACTTGTGGACATAACTTGCATTAAATTAAACAAACTTTAAAGAAAATTACATAAAGAAATAAACTATAATTCTCTAACTCTATCCAACTCTATCTCTAACTCCCCTCTCCCATTTGCCTCCGAAGTGTGTCTTTTATAGCTAAAGGAAGGCAACCACTTGTAGGCTGTGATAATGGCCCAAACTGCTTCTTCATTTCCTCACGCCACCTCTCTGCTGCTCTCATTTCACTAACCATTTCCTTTTCTTCCTATCTACCCTTGCTGACTTCTTTCTTCTTTCTTTCTTTTATTTTCCTCTTTTTCTCTCTTCATTTCTCCTCTTCACATGCACCCACATATACACAATATAGTTTGACTTTTTCTTTTTCTTTTTCTTTTCTTCTTTTTCTCTTTTTCACTTATTTTCCATTTTTTTTGTTGATTCTTCTCATTCATGCATTAATACTTACAAAACACAAAACGAACATATAAGAATATTTAAATATTATAAAAATTTAATTAAAACCTTATTTTGATGCATGAAATAATAAGTTTTGTATACTTATCATATGGCTATCACAAAAAATAATTCTTTGTTCTTTATCAATTTCCCCGAGGACAATTTGATGTTGGGAGTTGGTAGGGGCTAATTAACTTTGGACAGTTGTTTGCCTTTTCATGAGTGGGGCCAGCTTCTTTCAATCAATAATGGCAATAGTGAATAGATCGATACAAGTCGTTCCCAAGTCTTCTCCCTGCACGAAAATACATCTCTAACAGCAGGTCTCTTTCAATGATGAATGGCTAGCTATCACAAAATCTTTGATCACAATCAGCACTTTCTTCCTCTCCCAAAAATTGAATGACCTCAATGTTGTTTTACATAATTAAAACATTTCAAGTATGGCATTGTCAACAACTATTTACTTTAAACTATTAAATTAAGGTGATGGTAAGGTTTGAATTTAGAATTTTACTTGAAGGTCTATATAGTAATTTATATTTATCATGCATTTAAAACTATTTCCAAGACACAGCGAGCTAGCAAGCACACAAAATTCTTTTACTTGTAGTCTCAAACAATCCCATGCCCCATCAACCAGGCAAGTCTCGTGCAAATTTAGCTGAGAAGGCGATATAACATGCTTTCTGATTAGGAGGGTAACTCATTTTTCTATATATCATTCACTGATTAATTAATGTAGAAATTCAAATCAATATATAATATAGTACAAGGCATTTATCGATTTCAACTGAGAACAGATCAAATTTTTAATTTTGTCACCTATATGTCATGTAATGGGGCTGAACATGAAAAAGGTACTGATTCAAATTTGTTAACTTATTGTGTAAAACATGAGCGTTACTCTGCATTTCCTGGCATTTGATAGGAAGTAGGAAGAAGTGATTAATCCAAAAACATGATTTTCTTTTCTTTCTTTTTGTTTTAGGAATGGTTTAGCTGCAATCAAGACAGAGTGTTCGTTGAATTCTTGGCATAAGAGGCAAGCACTCATAAGTGGGAAAAAGGTGCAGATTCGTGTTCCTGATATAGAAGGTGTTGATCATGGAGAAAGATTACAGAACCTTAACAGAGGAGGTGTTTAAGAAAGCATGGGTTGCCGGTCAAATATGATATTTCTAGATTTATTGGGTTTGAAGAAAAGGGGGAGCCGAGGACTTGTCCAACCTCTCCTGTAAGATGGTAGGAATGTGCCCCATGCTCGTTCTCCCCCTTGTGCGTGGGGAAGATTTGTTGGGTTATTCCGAAAAAGGGATATTAAAAATCTGGTGTGAGTAGTGAACTGCTAGTGCTATATCTTACCGTTCACGGTCAAAGTTGAAATTAGTTTTGGGTTTAATTTTGGTTACTTGTTGCAACGAGGAAAACAATCACACACAATCAATTTGAATGATCTATTCCAAGTTGATGTTTGCTGTGGATAACATGCCTTGGGTAACGTTATTTGGGTCACACAGATGTGAATCCAAGTTGATCTATGTATACACACACACACCAAGGAAACCATAACAACGTTAACAACAGCAACTAAAGGAATAAAATCATTTTGATCTTGTCACTGATAGATATATAAAAATGCTTGAAACCAGCTGCCAATGGAGATACAAAACACACAACAGGTATTACATGAATATAATGAATTGTAATTACGTTACTGATCCAGAAATGAAGCCAGAAACCATAGTCATAAAACATTCAGACATTGTAAAGGGGAAAAAAATGTAGAGGTTGAATCCAATCCTACTTGTTGGCTCTCAACTCATCAGGATGTCATTCACGTACGTACATTCCTCCTAGAAACACTTCTATTTCTACTCTTTCGCACCTTTCTGAAGATCCATCTGATGAAACGGCAAGTGTGTGCTATGAAGATAATGGCAATTAGTCCCAACCACACTAGCACCGACATTGCAACTACGTTCAATATAGAATCCGCCTCATGCTCAGGCGAAATGGCAACCATTGAAATTAAGTAGGTGAGTGCCATACATGTAATTGTCACCCACATTGCAGCCGTTAGAAGCCACATCACAAATCTTTTCTTCAGTTGCAACCCACTTGCAAGCAAAAAAATTGTGCTCACAGAAGCAACAAAAGACATTGCATGTTGCAAACCCAAAATTCTTTGAACCCATAGTGATAGTTATAAAGCCATAACGGATGTTCTAGCATAGTAAACCATTCTCTGAGTCTCTTTATCTACTTTATCCTCTTGCCAAACACCACTAGGAGGGCTTAGCCCCGCCTGATAAGCCATGGCTGCAATCACAGTTGCAGCTACCATTAAAGAGTCGCGCTTGTCTGTCAATCGGATGTCCTACTTCTTCTTCAAATGATCACTAATTATTATGTTGTTGCTTCGTGAGGGTGTCCGTGACATTGCAACTCTATGTGTAACAGTCAGTGATGGTGCTGCTGCAACTTCACGATGCTCTGGAACTGGTCGGGACATCTCATTCCAGTTACATTCACTGCTGACTTGGGGGTAGTCACGTGGCGATGCAGGTATGATTCTGGCTCTCAGAGCTCTGGCTTCTACAAGCAGTTCTCGGATTTCCATAGCTTTTAAATCTTTTGGTGTATGCTCTATGATATCCACTGCTGTGAAACCATTTCCATTCACTGCATTCACTCTCACTGCAGTTGTATTGAGCAGATATTTCATAGTCTGCACAAAATTGTGAGGAAAATGTGACGGATCATAGCTCTAATGAAACTAATCTTTGCCCTTTTTCTTCCCTTTCCACGTACATGGTACACTTAATAACAAGTTTTGCAACTCGTCTATGAATGCAACATATATGTTAATGAAAACAATAAACATGACTGCAAATAATCCCCGTCTCTACTTGCATTTCTAGTGTTCATTTATCCTTCTTAATTAAAATCAAATAAATTCAAACAATTTTAGTTTCCAAAAATAAGAAATTAAGCACTTCTAACAAGCACTAACAAATAGCAAATTGAAGTCTATATACAAATATTTACCTCTATCTGCTTGAGGGCAGTAGCTGTATGCAAAATGGTGTTGCCATAATCATCTGTGACATTCATAAAATCATCAAAACTACCCAACTCCATTAATCGCTGTAGAGCTTCCAAATGATTATGTATCTATCACACATAAATGCAGAACGGTCTCTCCCCTGTCCAAGGTGTATTGAGTCACTTCCTGTCGTATCTGAACCAACTCGGTTACAACATCAACTCGGCCTTTCATGGCAGCTAGATGAAGAGGAGTCTTTCCATCTTCATCGCGAACGAGACAGACACTAGAGTCCACCATTAACAAAATCTTCATCATCTCAACATACCCATTTGCAGAGGCCAAGTGAAGAGGTGAGTGACCCTGTGAATTTAACTCAGCGACCATGTCACGCTTATGACTCAGAAGAGCTTTTGCAAATTCCACGTGACCCAGCATGGCAGCTACATGAAGAGGAGTCTCGTTGGAGCAACTGAATGAAACTCAAGCGAGAATTAGTTCATCTTCTTGCACCAACTGGTTCAAGGACTCAACATTCCCACTGACTGATGCTTCAAAAAACCTTCTCTCTCTCATCATCACTCTCTCTCTTCCCTCCATTGACGCTTGGTGAAGATGCCTATCACTCATATACATTCCCCTAGGCTTGGTTTCCTCAAAACTACAGTCCACAAATTCAACTTCCTTTCTTTCCATATCCTCTTTTAAGACTGACGCGTTTAGAACCCAAATTCACCTCATTTAAATCATAGAGAAGTAGAAGACAATGACGACAACTACAACTATGTAACCAAAGCAACTGGATAAATATAAATATATTTAACTATACCTTGAGGCCGAGGGAGGCAACTCAAGATGCTGAAGTAGAGAGAGAAACTGTAACAACAATGACAAAAGTTGCCGGAGTAGACACAGCAGGCCGGCTTTTTATAAGTGGAGGCACAAGGCAAAAACTGTAGTTCGGATGAGGCATCCTTCATAGCTAATATATTAATAGTATAAATAACTGTAACTAACTCAGCAATATATATATATATATATATTCTTTAATGCAGTATTAAAATGAAAAAATATAAAAATAAAGAAGTTTACAATGGGTTGAAAAAAAAAATTTCCACAGGCATTATAGAGATCTACTAAAGCCGGCATAGAGAGGTGTAACTATCATTCTCTATCATCCACAAGTTTGAGTTCCTAGAAAATTATTGTGCACAATGCCTGCTGGAAAAAAACTGATAAAGCTCATCTCCAAAGTTTCGAACTAACTTCGCAGCAAATACACACCGTCACTGGGTCGTCACCGAAAGCCATTTTAGGTAAATCCTTCTGTATCCTTGGATGAGAAGATAGAATTTACTAACTGTTTTATAAACAAATTACAAAGTAAAGAAAACTCATGAATTATTACAGCAACAATCAAGCCATGACGATCCAAGTACACAGCAGAGATGCTTATATTCAAACCTCCAGACGGCCCATCCAAAGCGCCATTAGCAGCCATGTAACAAAAATGACTCCTGCTCAACTTTTGGGCATACACTCAAATATCCCCATCATTATAGTAAAATACAACAGCGCAATAGCAGACTACAATATCCAAGTGATCATCCAACAGAGAAACAAACAATTGTAGGTAAAAAAATAGTGCATGGACCTCAACACAAGCCAGAGCCCATGTGAATATATCACTTCACTTCCCCACACAAATTTTCTTCTCAATAGCAAACAACTTGGTGGAAGCACAACTACATTATTCAGAAACTGTTCACAAAAATATGTCAAGGGACGGCCCATTGCCTGAGTACAGCCATGGAACATTTTCCCAAGTGAAAATGGTTCCTTGAAACTGTAAATCCAGGCCATATGTGACCTCAAAATCAAACTGATTAACTAGGATAACAGCAATGAAGTGTTCCAGCAGTTCTCAACTTAGTTAACAGAACTTATCCCAGTTCCCTATATCAAGAAGTGAATAAATTACCAAAAACAGCAGATCTTTCCTACAAGAATAAAAACTGTATATCTTAATTTAGAATCAAATAGAAGACATAAGACATGTTCAGGGTTTGCAAAGCAGCGATAGATCAGAATGGACAAGATTAACAAGACCAACGTACCCAACAGAAATGCCTTGGAGAACTGGCAGTGAGGAAACCTGACAACTAGACAGTTAGTTGAGTCTAGAGAGATACAAGGACTGAAAATATACTAATCTTAAAGGGATATCAAGGCCGAGCCCTCTTGTTGCTACATGATGGGCACTTGTAGTGCTTGATGTGCTCAGCCCTGGCAGGAGTGATCTTAACGCACTTGCCATGGAACCACCTCTCGCATATGTCACAGCAGATCCAAAACTCATCTGAAGCATAATTCTCCCCACAAGCCCCACACAAGGTATCACCGTGCTCCTCGTCATCTTCCTCATCCAATCCTCCTTCCTCATCCTTTGCCTGCAGCCCCAAAGAATATTTTGCCTGGAATTCAGAACCTCGCTGTTTAAATTTCCAAAAGAAAATTTGTTAGAATCAAAGCATGCAATTATAGTTAAATATTTATTAAAAATGTCCAGCATCTGACACCTTACCAATTAAAACAAGCGTCAAATTATTGTCATTGATTGGAAATGGGGACGACTTGTTTAACTTTAAAAAAAAAAAAAAAAGGAAAGACAAAACACTAAAGAAAATAAATCACTGGATGCTCACTGTAAAGGATTGGTCAGATCCATCCCTGTTAAAGGACTACAAAGTAGTGTTGTCAGACATGACTTTAGTGAGCCCCAATAGGACTTCTTACTGGTTGATATAGCATGACAAAAGTTCAACAGTATAAACAAAACAACAACAAAACTTGGAGAATACCTATCCTCGTATTTTATTTTATTTTTTAAAATTCTTTCTCCTACATTTTGGAAGTAAACGGATTATACAATCATACAAATGGTATTTGTCAAAAGAGCCAGCTGACACAGAAAAATGAATAATCCTGATTAATTAATTGTCCAAAAGTATCAGGACGAAGTTCATTTTTACCCCTTTCGAGTTCAACTTGGACGAGTTGCTGCTATGGTTTGGTGCTTCTGACTTATCCTTTATTTGTTTCTTTGCAGTTCCAGTCACAACCTCAAACAAAGTTGGCAGATCATTTATCATATTGAAGAGACGCTTCCTGCATCACAAGTTCCAGCAAGACTTCATGAAAATTCATGATGAAGAATTAGCAAGACAGGATATTAAACTGTCGGCTATTGGATAATTGGAAGAACAGAATGGCTACAACAAGTTTATATTCCCTAGAACAAAAAAGAGCTATCTATCATTGTTATTTTGATGGAACATCTTTCAAGATGCTTTGTATCACAATATTAACATCAAACAGATAACTTGTTTAGATTGCCATCTGATACGTAATTCACAGTTGGATAGAATGATTTGGCAACATTAACAGTTGGTCAAGTCTGTTGTGCTGGCACATGAAAGGCTAATAGGCTTTAGTAATAATAATAATAATAAATAAATAAATAAGCCCTTAGAGGGCAGTATGAAGAAAAACATACAAATGGAAAGATGTGTGTGTGAGAGAGAGAGAGAGATAGAGAGATATTGACAAAAGGATTCTTCTCTGTTCTGGGTACTATGTCTTGAAAAGATGTAAATTTGATTTTGGCTTTTACATGGACCATAGTACACTGACAAATATTGGACATAGAGACCTTGATAAAATTTCTCAGTTTAGGTAATTGATATTTCTTGCCTAACCATGTACTTCTCCATTTAAATCTAATCAAACTCCTCAACAATTTAATGATTCAGTTTTGAATTGGATTATTACTGAATGTATGCAAAATAGAGATGAATCCTATATATGGCTAAAATGGCAGGTCTCTACGTTGATCCTTCTTTCTAGAGACTTGAAGCTTAAATTTTCAAATATTACATAGCAGGCTGGGAGAAAAGAAGAAAAACCTGTCAGCTTTATCGAAACCAAATCTGGCACCAAAATAGAAGGCCACAGAAAGTAACCATGCATCACTATGGACAGCAACAAGAGCCAACCAGTCCTTTTCTTGCATCCCATCTCTGGCAAAATTAATACCTAAAGCAGGCTCTGGAATCTCTGGAGGAACCTCTTCGGCAGGTAAATTAACTTCCCACTGCTCATTTGGGAGTCCATACAAACAAAGATTTTCCTTCTCTGCAAGGCAACCAGTTATTCAAAAACACAAAATTGGTAGAGACACAAGTAACCACCAAAACTAGCAATGGGATAATATTCTTTAGGATCTATAAGGAAACCACAGAGGTGACCTAAAAATGAAAAATCTTCAGACAAACATTACCCATTAAACTAATACATTTGAACGAGTATTAATCATCATAATTAATGCCTAAAACTAGTACTTTTGAAGGCCTGAAATATAAAGTAGAAACTAAGAACCTTATGAGGTAATGACCCTTTTGTCATAGTCAAATCACAAGTTCCACAAGATGCAAATTCAAAGTCCAAATACATAACCTATGATCCATCGCAGTAATTAAAGAGAATGCTATCATATATAGAGGGCTTTTAACATGCTTTGATATAATTAAATTAACAAAATATATTCCAAATTAAAAGGACAAGGTTCCAGTCTATGTGGCACCATTCCTAATTCAAAATTTCTGGAACCATGGTAAAACAAGTTCCCCGAAGGTGAGCAACTCTACATGTTGCAATCCACTTCAAACAAATTTGAGCAGGCAGCCTAAAATACTTGGTATTAGATCTTGTGGAGTTGAGTTTTTGTATTAATAGAGTGGCCAGTAATCAATCACCAAACTGGCTTCATAGCCAAATTAGCTACAACCAGTAATCAATCACAAAACATAGATGCATCAATTCAAATAAAATGCCCATGACTCCGTGCAAAACACAAAGAGAAACAAGCACTAGCGCCTGACTGCACAGCATACACGCGCGAAGAGAGAGAATCTTTTGAAGATAAAGAGCCACTCAATTGAACGAAGCTGGTAAATAACTCTAAGAAGGCATTCCTATAACAATTTCGGGGGGAACAAACACAAATGGGAGACTTCATTTTTACCATGCCAGGAAAGATGCACATCAAGCAAAAACAACCAAGTTGGAAATTAACACCTATAATCTAGAAGGATGCAATGAAATTAAGGAACAGTTTATATAGAATGGGTAAGTAAATCATGCAAATTAAAACATAAGAACTCATAAGGAGTTAGGGAAGAAGTAACAAATCCCCAAATCCAAACTCTAATCAAAGGCCAACGTTTGCACGAATGTGGAGAAAGTTTCCATCCAGAAGCTCATAACATGCTGGATAGCTATTTCGATACTAGCATTATAATAATCCAGGTATGTTCTGCATAATAGCTCATAATCTTATATTTATTTTCATAACAAAACGGGATAGTTTTTTCTATACTAACATTGTAGTATATATCTAAATAGCAATTTGTATGGGCTGCACTAGTAATGCAAATGAGGAAGCTTTTTATGTCACAGATAGAACTAATCATTCATCATCACCACAACCCAAATTAATACCACATATTCAGACATTACAATAGCAAAAAAATGCACACAAAGAATATATATATACACACACTCATATAACGAAGAGAAAATCAAGAAAAACAACAGATAGAAACGCTAACTGACCTGGGTCGCACTGCTGAAAAAAATCTTCATTATCTGAGAAAAAAATAAAAAAATAAAAAGAACCCAAGATTAATATAAACACATCACAATGTATGAAAACAAAACTATCCAAAACCCTAAATCTCAAACTTGAAAACCCATATATATAAATATATACCGGTGGTGAGAGCTTTGACGATGGCCCCTCGGCGACCCTTGAAATCTCGGAAAACCTCCTCAACAGTTCGAGAGCTGCACTGTGACTGTGCGCCTCCGTCCATGGCTATATACAGCTTTCACAAACCCTTTGCAGAAAGTTGAATATACAAAGGATAAAATAATAAACTATGATACCGTACGCCTATTTCCACGAGCCAAAACTATCTGCAAACAGCAACTTCCATTATATAAAATTGAACACAAGAGAGAGAGAAAGAGGAAATAATCAGAAATTAATAGTTTTCAAGGGATTTGTGTGAAAGAAGACGACTGAGAGTACCAAATTACCGGAAACAGGCATTGCAATTTGCGACAAGTACGACGATCGATGCTACCTTCGATACGTACACCGTTGGGATGTGATGTTAGCTTGCTTTTCCCTCTCTCTCTCTCCCTATATATATATACACACTCCTATTTGAGTGCACAAATAGGATTAGAATAATGCTGTCAATAGGTTATTGTAGTTATTCAACCACGAGGGCTATTTTTTTTTTTTTTTAATACTCCGTACTTTTTATTTATTTATGATAGGCACTATATTTTTTAGTCATTAAATAGAAAAATAAAAAATAAAACTTTGTACAGTGCTTTTATTATAAAGGAGAATAAAAATATGCTTGACAAAGCCGTTCACAAAAAAAAAAAAAAAAAAAAAAATGATAACACTGTTCACAATATATATATCTATATATGTTTATTTATCACTCATGTTAATAACTCATTGAGTTCTTTGTCAGGAATAAATATAAATAAATGAATAAAAATATATATATATAGGTTGGTAATTTCTCGTATATCCTCAATTAATTTTTTATACGTAGTAGCTATATTAAGAAGTAACCAAAAATGTTCGTTTTCTTGATGCAAGAGAAAATACCATGTAACATTTTAAATGATTTTAAGTTCAAACCTTTTTTCAAATGGCATCTGTGATTGGTTATGTTCCGCATATTGCTCCATCCATTTCCTCTCAATAAACTAATTTGTAGGTATTAAGGTTTTATTTCTTAGAAAACATGTGGTGGAAAAAATAAATAAATAAATAAAAAGCCTTCAGCAAACTGTATATCTAACATTTACTTGATGCAGCATTTCGGAATTTTTTTCAATCTGACATTTTTCTTTGATTAAACAAAGATGCCAGCAATAATATGGATTTATCCGACTCATCAGATATTAACAAGACCAATCAATCACACACAATCAGGAATAAACAGCGTTCATATATTGATAAACTCATATATTAATATACTAAAGACTACTCAAAATCCCAATTGTTTATATTCCTGCCAACATTTTCAAAAGTACACCAAATTGGAGATACAAACAGTTCAAATGTATAAATTCGAACTATATATTTGCATTTGCATCACTAATTATTTCATACTACAAGTGAAGCAGTCAAGAGTTGATGGGTACATATGTCAAAGTCAGGCAGGCAGAATACCAAACAGCAGCATTCACATCAGGGCATCTTCTGAAATCTGTAAGCCAAAAATTTATATTCCCCAAAGAAAAGACCTGAAGGGATTGCAGCAGCTCTTAACTGGCCATCACAAAGGGCTTTTAATCACTGCAATTCAAAAAAGGTACAAATTGGTTTGAGTTCCCGACCGGTCGAATTGATTACAACTCTATGCTCTTCAATCGCAGCCATTCATCTAGCTTCAGAATCTGACATAAGCCAAGATAAGCATCAAAAAGCAAATAAGGTAAATTTGGCAACTAAACATGAGTTATTGTGTCCATTACAAACATTAAAACGGAGCGTTACTGTTTAGAAAAAACAGAGCTCAGAAAGCCGTATGGTTCCATAACCAAGAAGACTAAAAATAGAAATAAAATTAAAAGCAGATGCTGGAGAGGCATACAGCATTTAAAATTACAAAATAAGGAGATAGACGTCCATCCAAAGAGTCAAATATCTCACAAGATAACATGTGAAACTAACCAGCGCGGTTTAACTACACAGAATAGACAACTTGTTTGGGAATCATCAGAATCCCCAGTTTTCAAAGGACAACAGGAATAACATGCAAATTTATGGTGTAATAACACACAACAGATGGAACAATCAATGTAGATTCGTAGAATAGTAGATTTCTACGAAAATGTAGAACCCACATCCATCAGCCCATTAATTTTGAGCATGGTAAGCTGCATAAAGCTAAGCCTCAATGTCAGCTCCATCAAAATCTCAGCAAAAGCCAGGCCAAAGCTTGGCCCTGGGCCATGCATATCCCATAAAACAGGCTTGCAACAGATTTTAATGTCCTAAACTTACCATTACCCTCGCGAGATGATTCATCATCCTTCTTCTCTGGAACATTTTGTTCCAAAAACAGCTGAATAGTTCTCCAATAGTGATCACCACCTGCCAGCCATGTGTCCATATGCATGCCGGTAGGAAATTCCTCAAAGATGCATCGCCTGTTATGTGCAGCTGCTTTAGCATACAGCATCTGCATGTGGGATGGAGGAACCATTTCATCTTGCAATCCAGAAAGGAAAATGATTGGCTGTTTCACCTGCATTTAGAGAAAACAACATTGTGATGCACAAAACTTGTCTTGCTTGCTTTGATTTAAAAAAAAAACAAAAAAAAAAAAAAAAAAGAGCACAAACTTATGGCCGGATGAGAGGGGAAAAATGTGAAAGCATAACAATGAAAAGACCATCACACTCGATCATGTTCTTTTAGAAGCATTGTAATTACAAAAAAGTGTATTACCTAGTGTATGTCCACCTGTGTTGGGTGCAGGGAGGGAAAAACTAAAGACATTCGTTACCTTTCGCATTGTTTTACACACAATGATTGTTTTCAAACCCAAACCCATAATTTTACAATTGTCAGCTCAAGCTTTTACCAATTTCAAATATACGAATCATAATATCAAAACCAAATATAGAAGTGTGGTTTGAACAAAATCAAACAGATGCAGGAAGGATCAGATTCAACAAGTTTGTAACAGCAAATTTGTAAACTTACAATTGTTAGATACAACTGTATATTGAAATATAAGAAAAAGAAATTATATCTAACCATATAAAATAATTCAATATAACATTAAGGCATTCTGCAAACTACAAATGACGTCATATATGCAATAACAAATGCATATTTTGCTTAAAAGAACTATTTTGTTCTCTTGCAAACTATGCATCGGTACAATCATGGTGCATGCCTGATCATAGATCATAATGTTAAAGCTTTTCAAAAGAGAGGAAAATTTTATGAGTGCTAACAGGCGTCATATAAGGGTTCCCATGCAGTATAGTTCAATAGTCCAGGGGTAAAAAGCAGGAGCATCTACCAACTGCTAGACTCACCTGACCAATTATGTCAACAGTATTCCATGGAGAACGAACAAGGCCATTAAGAACCCTAAGACCTTTTGAGCCACTTCCTCCTATAAACCACCTCAGAAAGGGAAGTAGGACACCAGCCATGTCCAGAATAGATGTGAAAGTATTCTCCAATATCAGTGCAGAAACCTGCAAAATAAAAATTCATGAATGATATGCGTGACAGATGGTTTATAGTTTTGAAATGTACGAAGTTTAAATTCAAACGATTTGATTGGCAGATTTTCTAGATGCTTTTCAATTTCAAACTAAATTTAGGAGATTCCCTTGATTGGTCTGCTTTGAAATAAGTACCTCCATATTCCAATGAATATAGGATTTCACATTGGGTATGAGTTGGTGACTGGAAGACTTCCTTTTGTCAATCTTGATTCACATATAATTTTCTTAACTATGATCTTAGTGAAACCAAAGAGACCAGATTTCCCACCGGTAGCATAGAACTACTTAGCTTAGGTACTGTATGGATAGGCCTTACAATACCCTCGTATGAGACTCGATGATCCCAACTATATTAGTTGGTAAGACGTGTTGATAGCCACATCCTTGAGTTCAAGTCTCTTAAGAATCTTGAACACCATCTTCATGGTCCACACTTTCACTAGGATCATAGTTACAAATTCTGATGTGAATGCTTGGTTTTATTTTACCAGAAGGAAGTAGATCAAACTTTTAGACAAACCTATACAAACAAATGAAATAATTTAAAAAAACGAAGCTAAAGATTCTTATATGGCGTTGCAGTGAGCATTTATGATTGAAATGATATAGCACATGCTATGGAGTTGAAGAGAATAATCATGTTCCGCATTACTCCATTAAAATGGAGAATCCAATGTTATGAGCTAATATAGTAGAAAAGCAACAGCCTAGTTACTATTTCTTTTCTTTTTTTTCTTTTTTTCTTCTTTATTTTTTATTTTTTATTATTTTTTTTGGTGGCCGAATGAGAGAAAAAATCTCAACTCACTTGATCCCTTGATCTCATTCCATGTTTTCAACCATCAACATAAAAATAAAAAAATAAAAAAAGTGCTTTAGCATTTAATCTATAATTGCTATTAGTAATCACCACTCATGTAATCATGCTGCATGCACACAAATCTGAGAATACTAAAAGTATTGAGAAATTCCTGCACAAGAAAGTAGCAGGGTAATATCCAATAAATAAAAAGGTGTCAAAGTATCAAACACTGTAGCAGCTGATTAATCCTAAAATTCATCGTGCATCCGGTGATGTCTCAACTAGGACTCGTTGCCTGGTGCACTAAAAAACATAACTCAATGGCATCTCAACTATCAATTCACACTATTTTGTCAAAAAGGAACAAAATCATGCTGTCCAAAAAGAACAAGGTTTTATGACCCAAAAGTTCTAAACCAAAATATGGAATGCTTTAGGCAAATGGTCATAATCATGTCCCTATAAAATAAAATAAAAAATTAATAAACAAACAATTTATTGTCTCACTGAAAATAAAAAATGAAAAAATAATTGCAAAATTTACTAGAGCCACTACCTTGTCAGGGTTGTTTTGGGCAAGCACAGCTCCAACTGCACCCCCAAGTGACCTTCCAAAGACAACAATTCTAGATGTGTCAATATCAGTTCTCTGAATCAGATGATCCAGTGCAGCCTAACCAAAAGAAAAAAAGAGCATGCCAAATAAGAATTGATAGTATCTATACAGTAGAGGTTGGAATCTATGTTAAGTGGAAGATATTGTCTGAGAACCAAACCTGAGCATCCCTAGTGATTCCATATTGAGAAGGGTAGCCATCACTAGCCCCATAGCTGTTTATTATAAAGTAATATTAATTTCCCTTCGGTTAGAGAACAGCTTACATATATGAACACAATTCCAAATGCTAGTAGTACACAGCAAAAGCCATGACAAGAAAACCGTCAAATATAAAAACACAACAAATGTATACCCTCTGTAGGAAAGCATAAAAACATTGCATTGCAATTTCTGTAACATAATGCGAATCATTTCAAGACGGTGGGCAATATCTGCAGTTAACTAGTAAAGGCATCCAACAGAAACTGAACACAATCCAGACTTCAAGAGGAACGAAAATGCAAGAAGCAACAAAGAGATATATTCATGTAAGCACAACCAAATGGCAGGTTTCCAAAACTCCACCAAAAACAAAAGGATACTCCCGGCATTTTCTTGGAAAAAGAGGATGGTTGGGCCTGCAGAACCAACAACACTATCATAAGTTTCAAAAGTACATTAATCCTCAACTATTTATCATGAACAAATCATAGGTTCGAGAAAAGGAAGAAACATATTTTAAGTGGAAGATAACGCAGCAACAAGCATCATCAAGGCATGTGTAGAAAACAACAAAGGTTCACATGTTAAAATTTTAAGGCACTCTATGGATGCATCCATGTATAATATTTATTTATCTATGCCTGTGTATATGAATATATGTGATTACCCAAGCTCTTTATGTCCAATATGTAATGAGCTTTCTATGGGGTGCAAAAACTACAAGTAAGAAAAGGGCCTAGTGTTTCTACCCTCTTTATGCTACAAAGTGATGTTATAAGAAGTGAATTCCGATTATTACGCCTTATCATTTCCCTTATGATATATTGATAATGTTTTAGTTGATAGAAGTGAAGCATGTGTAAATGCTTAATCAGAAGCCCGGAGTGAAAAAAGGAATAGAGTTATGTAGGACTGGAATTAAACAGATGGATTTACCTTTGACAGATCTAAAAATAGCAATATATAAATATGAGACGTACGGAAGATGCAATTCCAAAATATTTAAACAGAACATTCTGTTGCTTGATAATCCAAAGTGAGGGAGACTGAAAATAATGTTTCTCATAGGATTAAAGCATGATGCGTTAAATGGAGGGGTGCTTCTGGTTTATTACGCAACCTACACCTATGAAAAAGGAAAAGAAAACTATATAGAACATCCATAAGACATATCATGCTCTATGAGACAGAATGTTACACAGCAGCCAAAATAAGTGTGGCTGAAATTGGATACTGATATGGACATGTTGTAAAATAAGGATTGCATTTTCAAGATGGTAGAAATAGCATTATGTGGAGCATGGATAGAGACACAAGGCGCAGGCACACCAACTCCATCAATCTTAAATATGTTCAGTTAAATTACAAGTTCAAATGTGCTTCTCAATCAAAATTAATCCTCCACCCCTTGATAATAAACAGATTGTCATAAATAAGATGAACATGTCAGCACATTGCCCCAAGGATCGCATTAGGATCAAATTCATAATGTCAGTCCTTGAAAATTAAAATTAAAAAAAAAAAAAAATAGCACATGAAGTTCAATTAGACCAAAATATCAAATCCAAACCCTAATTACAACTCTTCTTAAATGAATTATTTGGAATCTACAATGTATAACAAAATAACATATAATGAAATATATATTTATACATATACACACAAATATTAGGTCAATCTAATTCCAAAATCCCCAACAAAGTTAAAAGCAACTCGAGCGCAAGCCAAACCTGTCAATAGACTCAATATCTGTTTCCTCTTACCCAACAAATTATACCAATTCACCAATTACACAAATTCCTAATCCAAAAAACAAACCCTAACTAACCAGAAAGGGAATCTTCCACATAATTCAAGCATAAATCATTGAAAATAAAATTGAATAAAAGCAAAGCGGATAAAACTTACATACACGAACTATAAATGTATATGCATAGAGAGAAAGATAGAGAGACCTCGGCAATCAGGGGAGAGCTTGATGAACCAAGAATGAAGACGGATACCGTCAGAAGATCTGAGCCACACGTCCTCGTACATGAGACGCAAACGAGCGGGCGTGATGGGGTAAGACTTGGTGAGACCAGGCAAGACCGGCACGTAGACTAGCTTCTCTTGAAACGCCACCAGAAGTGCCATCCCCGCCACCACCATGCCTCCCACTCCGTACAGCAGCACGCTCATGTACGACACCATTTTCTCTCTCTAACTCTCTCTACTTTCTCTTTCTATACGTATAACAGTAATGAAATGGAAAAGATTGTAGGAATTAAGGCATGTAGTAGTATAAGATTCTGATTGGGGCACAGGGTGGACGACGTTGTAGTCTATGATCGTAGATGGAGACTGAATAATACGACTAGGAATAATACACACTAGGTATAATACACATTTGAAAATAAAAAATATGGAGTATATAGTTTGTAATATTAAATCAATTAGGAAAGAAAAATAATATTAATACAAATTGAGAGAAAAAAAATATATATGGCCCAAGCAGTCCAATGATATTTTCTCTACTTTTCAAAGTGGACGGTGAGTATACAAGTTTCTATTGAAAGAAGTGAGCAGAGATTCGAGCTTCTATTAGGACAAGTTAATCGGAATTGTTTGTATTTCTTGTCAATGACAAAAAATAATAATAATAAATAAACAGAACAAAACAAAACAAAACATATATGAGTAAATAATTTGTTATATGTGTTAAAGTACTTTATTTTCATAATATTTGTGTAGTATGAAAATTCAATTCAGTGCTTAATTAATTCTGAATGGATTAAGCATTTATTCAATTAAGTGTGTTTGAGAGTACAATTTGAATGTTATTGAAATCGGTAAATACCACTTAAAATGGAGTAAGATTTTAAATAATAAGTACACCACTTATTACTGAATGCTAATGTTTAAAATTTAAAAAGATTTTAAAAAATATTTATTTATTATTACTACATAAAAACTTTAATACTTACAATTCGGCTCTTAAAATGCTCTTATTATTTTCAATACTTAATTATCAATTTTATCAAGCAGCACAAGATATATACACATATATAGACATATATTTATATTACTTTTAGTAATTCAGTAAACATTATGTTGTAATCACTCACTACTTTCTTTTTTGCCTTTTTTATTTCTTTTTAAAAGAAGTTTACAATTTAGTAAATACTTTTCCTTTGCTCTAACGAGATTAATTTTCTATAAAAATGAGTTCATATTTCTATCTTTAAGTTATAATTTTTTGTTTTCCAATTTGATTTACTTATCTGTATACTCTATGATTAAATTATTTTGATTTATTTCTCTGTATATTTTATGTTTAAATTGACACATTTCATGGTTTCTTTTTTCCTTCGGCTGTAACTCCTGAATTTGAACTCGTAGAATGTACGTAATTTATAGCAAATTTTGTAAACCTTGTCCATGTACGCAAGGTATTCAATTTGACATTGTTGAATTTATTATGATAATTGATACACGAGATACAAATACTACTTTGGCAACCATCTAGCCTATGATCAATTGGGGCTTAAACCAAGTGCGGAACCCTAGTCTAAAGTCTCAGCTCGATATAAAGAATCTAAACTGTTTGATTGCTTAATTCAACGTTTAAATCTGAATGTATTAAATGTGTATTTAATTAAGTGAGTTTAATAACACATTTTGAATAAGGTAAATTTTTAAATAAGGTATCACTTATCACTGAATGCTAACACTAAAAATTCATAAAGGTATCTTAAATATTTATTTTTTAACTACCACTTGAAAACTTCATCACTAAAAAATTTAGCTCTTAAAATTTTCGCCACTAACTTATGTATTTAGATCAATTTTGGAACAATGATGAAAAAGTAAAAATAAAAATAAAAATAAAAAAATAAAAAATAAACATTAATTACTAGAGTGGACAAAAGAAAAGAAATGAAAGGAAATGAGTTAATATCTTAACTATCATGTTTGGCTGATTAATAATAAATAAATAAAGAAATTAATAATAGTCTTCTAAGATTAGAAAAGTTTTAATTCATTCCTTATTGTCCCTCCAAATCTTTCATTTTCCTTTTCAACATTTCATACCAAACACAATTTTCCATTTCCCTCCATTACTTTTTATTTATTTATTTATTTTCCTTCCATTTCGAGTATACCAAATTGGCCCTTAAGCTTAGGGTACACTTGTATTAGGCTACCCGTGGGTTGGCTGGCCTAATTTAGAGGTATCTCACATCGAATCCAAATGGGAGCTAAAATGTGTATAAATAGGCGAATATGTAACACTACTCAATATATTAAATTTTTGGATTAGCGGGTAAACGTTCACCCATTACAATTAATATCAAAGTTGAATTAATTTATTGATCCGGTGTTATGCTAAGTTCTTAGCCCAGATAAGTCCAAGTTGTCACCCTCGATAGGCAGGGTGACTCGACCGCAACAAAAACATTACAAGTTAGGGTGAGAAAGAACGTTAAAAGTGTCCTAATAATTTAAATTATTAAATTTTTGAATCAATAGCTAAACGTCCACCCGTTTAGATTCATGCTACTTATTGACCCACTACTAAGACTCCGTATTAATTAAGTGACACCTTGTTCAGTGACACCTTGTTCAAATCCACCCTAAATTCAGATGTAAATAAAAACTTCTAACGCAAATCTAAGTCAAGCAACAGAAACTATCACCCAAGTCTATCCAAACTTGAATTAAATTCGGGTTCACTCATCCAAATTAAGGAGACAACTGGAAGAGTAATTCACTGCGGGTCACACTGCATCTAAACTTGACTTTGTCAAACACAAATGCCCAAAAGACCAAGATGGGAGCTTTGAACTTGTCATAACTCATTAGACCTAAAAATAAACAATGTTCAATGGGTTAATTAATAGACACAACCATATTTAACCAAAAGAAAAAATAAATAGAAGGAACTCTCAACATAATTTAAAATCAATGGGCCTTCAATGTTACACTGAAAACATGCAATAAATGGAGTCAATAATCATTCAACAACTCATTTTCTATCCATAATAATCTCTCTAAAACCATTTATTAGACCCAGCTTCAAGACTCTTTTTTTTCCCTTATATATCAACCATAATAGCATGCAACTTGCCCACTAAGATACTATTTCATTATTCAATTTAATACTTAATTTTGAATTGATTGAGCATTTAATCAATTAAATGCCTTTCAAGAATTTCACTAAAAATGATAAGTAACACTTGAAATGGGATAAAATTTTAAGTGTTATTATTAAATCCTAAACACTAAAAATTCAAAAAAAAATATTAATTTTTTAATTACCACTTACAACAACTAACTCTCTTTATCCCAACATGTTTCTCGGTCACCAAAATAACACTTAGTTCATATGATATAATCTCTCATTTATCAAAGAAGTGGTGAAGAATTTAAATTCCGTAGTGGGCATTTGCGAGTGTGTGCTAAAATTTATCGAATAAAAAAAAGAGTCAAGTGTAAAAAAATTCCTTTACCATCGATATAATGCAAATAAATGCCTCTCTAGTGTAACCTCCTCGATAGTATTGATTTGATACAAATAATTCCGAGACTTAAAATGACTATAATGCTCTCATATTAGAAGAATAAATTAATATATAAAAATGTAAAATGACGATTTTGTCCCATGCTTCCTCCCTTCGAATTTCTCTCTCTAAAACGACTCTGCGCTATGGCAACTTTGAGCTTTGTCTCTAACAAGGTGGTAATGGTTTTTTTGGGCAAGGATCAAGTGGGATGATGGGTACACCGTACACATACAAGGCCAGCCCTTTGGCACCCAAATATGGAAATGAACCAGCCAATTTTTTATTTTTATTTTTATTTTTTTTAATTTCTCTCTCCATTAACCCTCAAATCAAACCCCTCTACCAAAGGCCTTTTTCGGTGGGTTGAAATCAAGGCAGTGCTCACAAGTTTGGCACGCCGATTCGGATGCCATTGATTGCAAAAAACGGGTACAGTTTTGAATGGAATTTCTAGTGGTGTACATGTATATATTGAATGGGATTTACAGAGAGAGAGAGTGAATAGATGGCCGTGGTGGGTGGGTGGGTGGATTGCAGTGTATGTATAATAGTATAGAGAGAAAAATAAGACACGATATAGGGAGAGAGAAATCGCAAAATCACCAACAGCCACCTGCCTCCTGTATACACTGTCATTAACGGCATCCCGAGCTCCCCGTCCTTCACCTTCCCCAACAGCCACCAAAGGAGAATCGGATCTTCTGTTGTGTGTCCGATCTCTCTGTTTTAATGCTCCAACCCGCAGATTCCCTTCAAACAACGGTCGCCGCCGTGGATCAGCGGCGGCGGGGAAACTCAAACTCGTCGTCCTCCACCTCTTCGACTCCTGAACGGTACTTCAACTCCGGCAACATCCACAACAAACCTTCAAGCCCAGACAACTCCGGTGAGGGCCAACCCCATCGACAGCTTTCAACAGCCGCGTTCGGGGAACATAAACATCTGCCGCTTAGACTTGGTCATCATGGACATGATCGCCGTGATATTCACCGTCCGAATTGGCGACGGCTCACACTTGGCGACACATTACCTGTTCTGTTTGGATCTGCTCTCGCTCAGGCTCCAGCTGCTACGCCGACTGCTTCTTTGAGTAAGTCGCCGGTGGCGGCTCCCGCTCCCGTGCGTAGGAGAGGAAGGCTAGAATAGGAAGAGGAAAGGGCAAATTAGGATTTTAAAATTTATTTTTGACCCAAAAAAAAGGACAGAGTGTTGCACTTTTTTTATTATTAATTTTATTTTATGGATTAAAATGTGCATTTTAAAAAAGAATGTACTATTTGTTCACAAAATCGATATTAAATTTTTTAAAAAAATTTTGAAAAAGAAAAATAAAATTTTCAAGCAAGGTTAATCCTATTTAGAAAAAGAGGAAAGAAAATCCAGGTTAATCCTATTTAGAAAAGGAGAAAACAAAATGGCATGAATATGTCTCACAAAAACGCAAAATCACCGCATTACCAAGAAGAAAAAAGAAAATTAGAACCACTACAACGAAATTATTATTATTATATACATATTGACAAGGAATTATGCACTCATTTACGAGATACCACTAAGCGCTACAAGACTAATGGTATTTTATCCACAAATCATGAATGTATTTATTAATTTGAATAAGGGTAGGGAAAGCATATAATTAATGGTATTATAATTTTATCTTCTTCTTTTTTTTTTTCTCCTTTTTTTTTTTTCTTTTTGGTATCGTGCTTCATAGCTTACTCTATGAACTGAAAAAACTGCTGAAATTAACCACAGTGAAATGACTTGTTTTTATCGATAATTTGGAATTTATAAACATTTTTTTTTTTTTTTTTTTCAGGGGATAAAAAACATACGGAGTACTAAATTAGCCACTCAATCAGTATTCATCATTACATTGTCAAACCTTAGGCCAGACTCCAGAGATGGGTGGTAAAAATATTTCAGAGGAAGGAAAACATACATTAACCATTAAAAACTAATATTTACTTACATTTTTGAATAATAAATTGGGTGGGCATTAAAAAATTCCTGTAAAATTTTGAAATTTAGCACCCTAAAAGTAGCAGGAGCCTTGTACAATGTGGGTGCCAATTTTCATGCTACCATAACAATAGAAGTTAAAAGTACATGAAAATAACAACAACAGAGACCTTGATAGGTTTTGTCAGCTGCACATTCTTCATTATCAGGAGGTTCCATTGCAAGCACAAAAGCCAAACCACCACATCCAACAGCCCCAGGTCATTCATCAGCTGTGCCTTGAAGAATGAACTATGAAGGCTGCATGAACAATAATTTATTATATGAAATAAATTTAAGCTCTAAGACAAGGGTGGGAGAAGTTGAACTTACCCATGTAACATGAAAATTGTAGACTGATTAAAAGAAATGGTCGGACAAAGAATGAAAAGGTGTGATATGGATATGGATATGGATATGTGTATACACACATTTGATTGCTTACCACCAAATATTTTGGATATGTATACCACACACATTGTCCAGTTATTCAAGGACATCATCTCAATGGTAAGTATATTAGACCAACTTTATTACCCTAAAATGGTCCACTTATTCAAAGACATCGTGTCAACATACCTTGATACCTCACCGATGAAATCTACAGTTGTAAGTTGATCTTTTCAGACAAGTTGAAGATATCAGAGTAAACTCGATCACCCCCTAAATCTGCCCCCGTAGCTCCTGCAGCTACTCTTATAATATCTTCAATCAGGGCAAAATTCCCCATTATATCGACATGCAAGCCACTCTGGGTTCCCCGGCCCTCTAAAAGATTAGCTGGAGGTGCATGATTATACTCCCTTATGTGACAAGGAATGCCTGAAGGATTAAATCGTGTTTTTCCCCGCCAACCTTTTGCAGCCATGAAACCTGCACTTAGAACAGGAACTGTTTCATCTCCATCAACAGCAAAAACCCCACCTTTTAAACAACTCCACTCGCCTTCGCCGTCGGCTGAGGCATCAATCTGAAATGGAATGTAACACTCAGCAGCAGGACTCAACTTGTAAACATATGCCCTCTCAGTGGGGATTCCAACTCCATATAGAGAAAAAATCTCCATATCTGGAGCATTTGGTAATCTACAAAAGCATCACCGTAAATTTCAACTCCTTAGTAAAATAGAAATTTGCCAAAGATGTATGTTGAACACCCCTTCCACTTAAAAAAAAACAAAAAGAAGAAGGAAAAAGGAAAAAGCAAAAGACATTAGCATTACCAGCAAATCAAAATAATATTGGACTGTCTTACCGAAACAAATTAGTATTGGACTGAGTGGAGAGATGGAGAGACGGGAAGGGAAGAAGGAAAAGCAGAAATTACAAGATCCAGAAATCATTTCAAAGAAGAAAATGTAAATAGCCTCACTTTGTTTCTAAGGGGTTGGACCAATATCTGTAATGCTCATATTTTTTGTCATCCAAATTGTCAGCAATTCCATACGAAAAATGGGCACTGCCACGCTTCATCATCTTCGGGGCAACAAAATGAAGCAGATCTAAGATGGATCCAGCGGTGTAAACTTTGTAGTCTGCAACAGCCTTGATACCCTCGATGCCCATATCATGGTACTCGGTCCATACATCACGGCATGTTGTGTTTGCAAGGTTATTACCCTTAACAGCACCCTACAGATCAACCAACACCAAAATATAGAACAAACGGAACTCGAACCACACAATTGAAACTGTAAACTGTGACAAGATGTAGTCATCAAACATGCCATAACAGCGAGCATATTGAGAGACATATTTGAGTCAATGAAATATATGTCTTTACTAAAAATGAAACAGAGCCATATAAAACCTTAGCTTTGTCCAAAAGACAAGTCGCAGATACGGGGAACATTGGTTTATTTTCTTGTTGTAGATGCATGACTTCCACTAACACGTGGCATGCAGTGATATAATGACCTGGTAAAAGCCAGTGTCAGCAGGGCAGACACACATGCAACTTGACAGTGATTTTAGGTAAAAGAGAGTACAGAAGAAAATGGCCCTCGAATCTCTTAAATTCTGTCCTGCATTGTAATCTAACACTTGATCTCTTTCAGGGGAGTGAATTTTATACACTTGACCTTGAAGGACATTACTCGAGATCTCTAATAGGGTTGGAGTGCAATCCTTCCGGAGGCAACTATTCTGTGAGAACCACTTCCCCTCATATAAGTCTCACTGCTGATATAAATATGGTGTGGACCTCCTCTGCAGCAAGGACTTCTTTTCCTCAGATAAGCTTCACTCAAAGAGCTTAAAATGTGCTCCAACATACCTCCTCTTTTTTTTCTTTTTCTTTTTTTCACTTCATATTTGTATCAGTGTGTTTATGGATCTGTGATTCATGGGTTTTACTGGAAAAAGAGGTTGCACCATTGCTGACAGGCCATTGTCGTGCATGAGATCTGAAATCAGGTCCTCTACTCTATATTATATTATGTGATATACATTTAATTACAAACTATGGAGTGCAAATTACTGGTCAAATCCGCTGGTCACACCTTATAAAACTTAAATCTTCCGTGGCTGCTCCGCTTCTCTCTCATGTGGCAGATCTCATTGATTTTACAACAAACTCCTGGAGGCGGTGGAGAGTGCGGTTTCATTTGAATTCGATGCAAAGCTCAGTCGAAGGATCCCCTATCCTATCAACACCTCGTAGAACCCTTAACTTCATAGAGATCCATCCAGGATGCCATAATCCAAAGCTTATCATCCTCTATTAGCCATAATCCAACACTAAACCCTAATTTACATCTTAGCATCCTGCATGTTGTATCTTGATGATCGTTTCAACTATATTCATGATTCACAACGAATTAACTGATATGGACTGTTATACTTGAACACCATCTAATCCATCCTCCTGGAGACCCAGCAAAATCAACGACACCTCAAAGCCACAGGAAAAAAGGTTTAACTATTTCAAAAGGGATGAAGAATTGGGCAATTAACTGATCTAAGGTTAGAGGTAACATGCAGCACTAGTTTGGTTCTAACAGCATTTCCATAGCTTAATATAGAAATGGTTCAAAGTCTCATTGCATATCAGATATAATATAGCAATCATTTACTGCATGTATTCACTACAAACAGGCACTTATAAATTAAAAAAAATGAAAGAAAATATGTAATATTAGTAAGCTATCATCATCATCCTTGCCTTAATCCCATATCAATGGGGTCGGCCACATGAATTTTCTTTTTCCATTTAATTCTATTACAAGCCATCTCTCCTCTAATATTTAACTTCTTAAAATAATTTATAATGATTTCATCCCATCTAGGAAGTACGGACACGCCTAAAAGAGCAAAGAATCCGTGTTGGACACGTGTCGGACATCGACACGTGCCGGACACGCCTCGACACGTGTTGGACACGCCCAAAAATGCGTTCGAATATTTCATATTTTCTTGAATATCGGGACACATTTTGGACATGAGTCCAACACACCATGGAGACGTGTCTTGGGGATTTTTAAGAAAGTTTTAGAAACAATGTTGAGTTGAACTATAAATATTAGGAGTTGTTTAATAACTTTCAGCAATATGATGGTAATTACATAATAACTTAAAAGTTGTTGTTTTATAAAACAGTTTTATATTAAAAAAATTAGGTATTTATCCTTATATTTTAGTTCAAGGTTTGAACTCTTGCATAATCATTTTTGACTCTCTTGTTCTACCACCAACCAAGCTTCGCTACCGGTGGATGGTCTCTCTATCTCTCTTCTCTTTTCTTTCTTCTTCTTCATCCTCCTCTTTTCTTTCTTCTTCTCATTCTTCACAAATCCTAGATACTTCTTTTTTTCCTTTCACAACAAATTTCTTTTTGCGTTTCTTTTTCCTTTTTCCTCTATTCCCCATGAACTTTTTCTCTTCTATGGATTCTTACGTTTATTTTTAACTAAGGCCTAATTCTTATTCTAACAAAACCCTAATCCTCTTTGTGTCTTCTTCTTTCTTTTTTTTTCTTTTTTCTTTTTCTTTCTCTTTCTTAACCCTCTTTTTTTTTCATTATGAGGTTGTAAAAACTAATATTACTCTTAATTTCTTAAAGTACAACATCATATATATATAATATATATTTATTATTTGCCGTGACCCCCACTATGTCCATGTCCTAATTTTTCTGGATTTGCTGTGCGCCTGTATCTGTGCTTCTTAGCATCCCATGTTAACCTTCCTCTTCTCACCGGTGCATTTATGGGTCTTCAGTGTGTGTGTCCATACCACCTAAATCTACTCTCTCTAATCTTATCACTGATAGGTGCCACCCCTAATTTCTCCCTCACATTAGTAACTTATCATGGAAGCCAAAAAAAAAAAAATGAATATTCTATTTAGGCACAAACCTAATCACATAATGAAGGCATGACAGAAGGTTATCTAGAGAACAGATACCAATAACACATCATCCAAACAACTGTGGGGAGGAAAAGAAAAAAAAAAACTTGTAAACAACTTGTGGTAAAAACTAACAATGAACAATCAGTGGCATTGCAAAGTCTCATGCAGGCCTATAGGATCTGTTATTTCATTGAAGCTAACAGTTCTCATTCTACACAACTATAATTAAAAGTCCAAAACAAGTACGAGGCAGGTTAATTTCAATCAAATGGCTGTCAATGTTAACTAACCAATTTGGAACTTGAAACATTACCCTGAAATCCATTCTCTCAATTTTCGATGACTCTATCTCAGCAACATCCTTCCCAAATGATATTATTCTTCCATAATTCACACGTTTTGCATTACCTGAACTTCCTTTTTCATTTTGTCTCATTGTCTGAGTGTCATTGTTCTTCATCTTCTTCGCATTGCACTGATAGTCTTCTTCTGGTGACCAATCAAGGCCACCCCAGATGGTGTCCCCACCTTTTGGTATCATTGACATAGTTGAATCCCATGTACGAGTCATTCGCATTACGTGTTGTAAAGTTTGAAAACCAAATACATCCTTATCCAATACAGTTGGTGCAATAGTCCTGTGCATAAGGTATGGGATTTCAGTAAAAGCCAAAAATTGATTAGAAATACATGCTAGAATAAGAACAGGTATTTTGTATATTTATAATAAAACATAGCATATACATTTTTCTCAATTTGAGTTTGTGCATTTTTGTAAAAGAACCTTAATGGATAAAACAAACATCAAAGTAATAAATTAAAATAGTCGCAAGTTCCATAGAGATTACTTCTCAATACAATTTCTTTCAAATTCATAAAATTATATTGATAGATTCGAATACCTACTATGGTAGAATATCTGTGTCATACTTGCTCAGATTTTGCACTCGTTCCTTCTATTTCTCCAAGCAAAGCTCTTTGCACCCAAATGCCTATTGTGTCGGCTTGACCTTTCATAGATATGGATTATTTTGAAAAAATTTAATCACGTATTGGGTATAGGTGTCATGTCAAAGCATGTAATCAAATTCATTGTTGTAATGGAAATGGGATAATACCCATAAAAGTTCGATGGAATCGGAATCATAACGGAAATGAAATCATACCCTTCGTTTAATTTTCAGAATTCTTTACTTAAAAGCAACCCTCAGAATGGAGTCATCACAAAATTGGACTCATTTCCATAAGTCCGTAACTGATGCTAAAAAACACGAAGTGCCTCGTTTTCTTAACGTTGATTCTACACATGAGGCATCTCAATTGAAACAAAATGAGATTGTACTTCTATTTTTATTTTACTTCTATATACTTCTTTTTCTTTTTGTAAGTCCTCAAATAACACACAGAATTCATGAAAATTCATGGCAAGTTCAAGCAGACTTTCTTTTACTGCTTTTAGTCGCCAATTAATTTAAATCTTTTTAAAATCATCAAACTTGAGATTAATCAATAAATAGATAATTTCCCGAACAAAAACCAGATCTGACCGTTAAATTATTAATATATTATTATCGCTAGAATAGAGTATTATGAAGAAATTTTTACAAGCTAGTACTAGCAAGTAAAGTAGATACAAAAGAATAAATGAAGTAAGACTAATAGCTCTTTCCTTCTTTCTTTCAGATAAAACGCAACCACATTTTGAGTTCTAATTATTATTTCTTAATTTTTTCCCTATGCAGTAAGCAAATATACTTAGATAAGGGGATTTAACACATGCACAAGCAAGCAAAATAACTGCTTCCAGAGGAGTTTGCATACAAAAATTCTGCTATATGTCCTGTAATAGAATACACATCTTAAATATACACAGGCTTGGGGGTCAAGAGAGGTGGGTGGCGTGAGGGAGTTTGAATCAACACCATTGTCACACAAAATGGATTGAATTACATCACAGAAGGTAGAACCTAAATGCACAGTGTTTATAATAAGTAAAAGCATCATATTAATATTTGTCCTAACTACCATGCAAACCTTATTTCACATGGTAAAAGTTGACAGAGTGAAAACAAGCTAGCCATGACAATAGCAACTTAGTACCATCCACTTCATAACAGTGGTAACAAAAACCTGGCAAAAGCTATATCCTTGGCTTCGGCAGAGAATAATCCAGATACTGCTTTTGGGACGCCTAAAAATGGTCCACCAATATTCATTACTGCCTTTATATGTTTAGCGCACCAGCCTGATCCACCTCCACCACCCATTGGAGCAGGTGCCTCAACCCATTTCATAAAATGCAAGAAGTACAGAACACCCATTGAATGTGGAATCACGACCACTTTTCTCCCACCACTTGTAGCAACCATAAGTTCTATATTACTTTTTATCCTGCTTAGCGTCTGGTCGCGTACCTGATCAATTCAGTTTGAAAGGAACATTAATCTTATTTAAGAAAGTACTATATTAGAAAGAGACATGATCAAGTTACGTTTCATGTAAGAATTGCTGTTTCTACACCCCTCAGTTTTTTATGAGTAATCTTTTCATTCTTTTGGTAAAACTACTTTTGGATTAAAAATCCCTCCCAATCTGTATATAAGCCATATATCAAATCTAATTGGAGTTTTACAATACCCGCATCCAATTTACACTCCATTCAATTATAATATTTTTATTAAAAGAAATTTGAATTATTGGAATGGATAGCTACTCATAGATGACAAACTTGAGTACAAGACAGGCACAGTAGCCACTCATATTAGAAAGAGACATGATCAAGTTACGTTTCATGTAAGAATTGCTGTTTCTACACCCCCCAGTTTTTTATGAGTAATCTTTTCATTCTTTTGGTAAAACTACTTTTGGATTAAAAATCCCTCCCAATCTGTATATAAGCCATACATCAAATCTAATTCAAGTTTTACAATACCCGCATCCATTTTACACTCCATTCAATTATAATATTTTTATTAAAAGAAATTTGAATTATTGGAATGTATAGCTACTCATAGATGACAAACTTGAATACAAGACAGGCACAGTAGCCACTCAGAGATGACCAACTTGGCATGCATGAAAAGCATGACAGGGGTTTCTAATCCAACATTCGACTTGACAAAACCAAATTTTATCGAGGGGCATATGAATAGCAATTCTTACTTTGGGTGAAAGTTGATCCTGGTTCTACTTACATCTTAGAATGAAAAAGCAGATACTGCATATAAGCTCCATCAGCCCAGAAATAAGTTAAAGACTTTGGTTGAAAATACCTCCGTGTTCTGAAATGAAATCCTCCAATCATATGCAGCCATATACATATTTTTCTCCTCATATCCAATGCGAGCCAGATTTGCAATTAAAACTGCCCACACAAAATAACCTGCTGCAAAGTAATCAGCCGCCACAAGTCCAGATACAGGTCTGATCCTTACACCAGAGGGATCCAACCCAGTTTCATTATCCAGTGACATGTGCTCAACCCAGCAGAGTGGTCTGCAAAAAATAACACATAAAAACGAGTACAAGTCCATTTTAATAGTCAATTCCATTAATATTTTTGCAACGGAAAATTAATATTAGGAAATTCTGAGGATGTAAACAAGTTTGGCGGGTCCCAAGCGATGTGATAATAATTATTATTTACAATAACACTTGGTTAAGTTAACAAAATATTTAATAAGGACAGATAGCATCACCTGATCAACTTAGAATATGGCAAGGACTGAGTGAGGAGCATGGGCAGTGCAGTTCTACTTTCTAAGAACCTAAGGATTTTTAAAAAGCTAACATTTGGCTAATAAATTCCTCAGAGATGCAGACTCTATGCATGTCACTGAAAATACTGGCTTAAAGCACCATTGAAGCGCAGAAACGTAGTAGCCTTCAGCCATTATTTCACAGGTTCAGGTAATCCAATTGTATAATTGCACACCCATAGCAAGCAGATATAAAATGCTTGGAAGCACAAGCTTATAGCAGTCAACGACTGATTAAAACTACAAATCATGTAGAAGTACTTGAAATGATAGTAGATAACTAGGGATCATTTTATTGATCTTTAATTACAATGGGGATAGCAGCAGCCATTAAACCTTCCAAGTAGCATTTAATAGCATCTTGCCATTCAACATATGCTAGGGTTTAGCACGAATTTGCAAAATACCTAGCCTCAAATCGCAATAGATCCTCGTATCAGTAAGTGGGTTCAACTATTTTGCTAGGTGTACTTCATGTAGGTTGTAGGTAACAACAAAACATGTCTATCATCAAGTAGAAAAAATGAAACCTGAGTAGATATGTCTCACTCAATTAAGAATCTCTCTCTCTCAAATACCGACAACCTTTAAAATTCAGACCAACAATTGTTAGTGGTCCATAACATAAAGCAAAGCATTCCCATTTTAATGACATATGTTTTAACCACAAAGTCTACAACCGTTCTCACAAATCCAAACCGTTCCTTAAGATTTCAACTCCTATTGAGCCATTACCGACTCAAAGGGAGCTTCTATCAGAGTCATCATCTACTATACAACTTTCCCAAAACTATAAAACTCACTGCACTTTCTTTTATCTTTTACTATTAACTGGAGTGTATCCTAAAAACACAACTGAACTTCCATTGATATCCTACTGTTGCCAATAAAAAGTCATAATTTCCAAGACGGAAAAAAAATATAGAAGAGGAAAATTAGAGACATGGATTGCCTTTTACTGAGACCAAATTAGATAAAAACGAAACAGAATCAGTTTCCTACATACTTAGGACAATTATATTACACACAAAGCCAATTCAATAATCACTCCAACAAAACCATTCAACACAAAACTAATCTTTAAACCCAAAAAGTACATGTAAAGACATTAAAGCTGTTACCTTTTGTAGACTTCACCAAATGTACCACCCCAAAGCCTCTTTCGAAACAATCCCTCTGCACATTGATGACCTTCCCACAGCTCGAGCCCGCCGGTAACAATCCCGGGGACGAAAACCACCGGGTGGTTCGCCTTCAACCCTTCTTTCCGCAATTTCACTCCTGGAGAGTCCGGTAAAGGCCCTGTAATGGCCTCGGTAACATACTGAGGGAAGGAAGCTGGCATAGCATTGTATAGAAACAACAAGAACCACCAAATCGAACATATAAACCCAATGAACCAACAACAACTATCAACACACGACCACTTCTTCAAATCCCTCTTCTTACTCTCGTTTCCCTCTTTCTTACTCTTCTTTAGCTTGTCGTCCTCTTTATCAATCGAATTCGAAGCTTTCTCGGTTTCAGAGCCCTTTCTACGCCTCAACAACGGCATCTGTATATATAATAATAATAATAAATATATAAATATACGTGCTATATATGTGCTTGTGTATATATAGGTTGTGTAAATGAAGATCTTTAAATGCTCTGAAGATTGCTTCGGATGGTCATTTATAACGCCTGAACTTATACTAAACCCTAACCCTAATTGCAAACACTTTATATACAAGTCCTATATGTATGTATATATATACATACGGAGTATTATATTTGTGGCGACCGGAGGTGAGGTTGGCGGGAGTTGAATGGTGACTCGCGGCAGTGGAGGATCGGTGGTCATAGGAAGATTTGGAAGTGTGTGGATCTGATGTGGGTCCTAGTAGTGAATTGTTGAGCTGTTGAGTAAGAGATTGACACGTGGTGTGATTTGCATGAGTTGTCCAAGGGGCACTGTGATTCTTGGTACGCCGTTGGATTAGAGAAGACTGTGGTCAGAGGACTGCGGTGGTGACTATGTGATGGTGTGTGTTAGGTCCACATTTTAAGTTGTTAGATAAAGCATGGGGCATAGAATGGAAAACACGCAGCAATTAAAATGATCTTCTGTAACAAACTTGAGCTGTCATGAATATGTCAAATTCACATGCCATGCCCTTTGCAATTGACTGGAACAAACCTCACCTATCGACCCCATCATCTTCATTATTAATGTCCAAAAAGTGAGGAGATGGATACGACCTATCAGTGTAAGATTGATATGATATTACCAAGTGATTAACTCATTGCTTGCAACATTTTTGTTAGAGTTTATAGTAAGAAATTAAGGTGAACAATTTTGTTGAGTTTATACTAAGAAATTGAGGTGAGTGATCAGATAGTAGTAGACATTTTTATTGAGATAGATTCTGAATATCAAAGTAATATGGTTGAGGATTTTATTATTATTATTATTATTATTTTTTTTTTTTTGTTTTTGAAGTTGTAACAAACACGCAATCATTAGATATATTTAATATATAGTATTAAATCACTATAAATTTTCAATATTCCCCCCTCCCTCAGAAATTTTTTGGGTTCCCAAGATTCATTACAGTATCCCAGTAAGTTAGACATATTATCCTTAATTACAATAATATATCATTCTGCATTGTCATTGAGATGTTGTGACTAGGGAGGGAGGGAATTTTTTTTAGGGGGACACATTGTAGTATTGTATACCATAGTATAGATTTATTATATAATGTACATATACATAAGTCCATGTTTATGAGTATATAAATAGAAAGAGATATTTTTTAGATGAAATTAATTTACATATATAGAATATAAGAATTAAGGAAATAATTTAGAAGAAAAAAATAGAAAACATATATATAGAATTTTACGAGGAATGAGAAAATTGAGAAGGCTTTTCATATTTTTATTAAAATATATATATATAATATAAGAGCGGAAGAAAATTCAGGGAGGCGTGTGTCCCTGGACCTTAACTTCATAGATGTGACATCATTAATTATGCTAGAATTTTGAATGAAGTGAAATATTTGATTGTTGATGTTCTTTACAAACAAGTATTACATGAGTAAATTTTTGTTCAAAGATTTTTCAACATGGTTTCTTGAAGATTAAAAAGTAGAGACTTTTATCTTTATTTTTTAATTTAAATCAATAAGGTTTTTGCTTTGTCAATATAAAAAATCTTGTTCTGCATCTATTGGGCCGTCGCTCACAATGGGCATGGCCGCATGGGCTTTATGCATTCCTACCTACTAGGTATATTGGTATCGGGCAAGGCATACCTAGCCCCAGCAACATTGAGGGACATCAAAATACTTCTTGGCATGGTCTTGTTAATTGGTAGACTCATAATTAGCTTTTTAACATGGGGATTTCATATTTTGCATATATAATTATGGAAATTTCTCATTTTATATAAATAATGATGGAAATTTCTCAATTTTCTTATACAAGAGGGATTGGCCAATATATATATATATATAAGAGGGATAAATTGTAACCCTTTGGGCCTGAGATGTGGGCCACACATATGGCACCAGCCGTAAGCCTTGGTCTTGGCATGGAACGCTAGCATCCACACGTCATTGCCTCATTGGTGATGCTAACTTGGCTTAGACAAGATTGTGAAATACTACGTGAATGTTACCATTTGTGTTTAAACAGTCTTTTTGTGTTTGTTTGAAAAATAATAAGACAAATTTAAAGGAAACACCCTCGACTTGTTTATGATATATGATCAAAGAAACAAAGAACTAGGGGTTTATGATTTAAATTTTCTTTAATCTAACTGAAAAAAAACAAGGGATTAGTGTTCGACAGACGGTCTTTAGCTTTTAGGCAATGAATGTATCAGCCTAATCAAAGAACATCATCATTTTATTATGCAAAAATGATATCTAACATCAACAATTTGGTTGATTTTGATTATTTAATATGAGCATGTTCGTTAAGAGGTTTCTCTCAATTCAACAACTAACAAAAGTGGGTGGGTGTATTTTTTATCTTGTGCCAAACATGATAATAAGGTAAAGAGATTTATAACAATTACCCATGTGAAATTCAATTACCCTAACTTCTTCGAGTAGTAAAATATCTTTTCTAAAATATATTATTTTTAATTTTAATTTTTCACGAAGGGTTTATTCAACTTTCTCTGTTGGGTTTGATTTCACACTCCTATAATAGAATGGAGAAATACTTTAAAATCTGAAAGTTACAGATTCAAAATAAAAAATAATCTCTTCATTCATAAATAAAGTTGCCAACATTTAACCCTTTTTAGACTTCACATTGTTCACAATGAGGAAAGTGTCACGCAGTAGGAATATGGGCCAAAAATAGCCTATCAACATTTTGTAGAAACAGTGATCCATCCAGATTGCAACCCAGGCCCAAAAGATAGAATTCAGAGCCTCGAAGGCCCGACAGTTAAAATACGATGAGCCGCGAAAATACTGGACGTACAGCTACAACCGGTGATGTTCAGGTAGCAGGTAAAAGGGCCAACGAAAGGCGCTCCATAGTTGAAGTGAAAAATGATTTGAGAAAGAAGAACCCAACAAAGGCAAGCTCAAAGTGAAAACACTTTCCACTCTCTTCGATCAACCCAAAGAAAACATTTGTCACTTCACAAACTCAATTCGCAAAACACACAACAAAATTTGTATGTCTACCAACACACACGTATAAATATATTTCCAATTTTCCATGGCGTTTTCAGTTTTTAACATTCAACAATTTCTTCTTCTTGTTCATATTCTTTGTTTAATTTATCTATTTTTTTGAACTTTTGACTTTTAGTTATTTATTTCAGGAATCTCTCTGATGGCGTAATTTAAGGAAAGTCATTAAAAGTGCCCGAGAAAGGGCACTGAGCATCGTTATCTGCACTCTGAAACTGAACCACAACTGATTCTTCAATATCAGAGGTGTCTTTTCCAAACACAATTCGTATATATACTAGTATTTATTTTCTGTAATTTTGTAGTTAATGTAAGCCTCTGTTGATATCTTTTTGAGTTTTCAGGTGTTTTGCAGTGAACGATTGCTCTCTGCTTCTAAACTTCATTCGATCGTTTGCTTCACAATCAGTTCTCTCCCCAAAATTCTTATATATATATATATAAACATCTATATATATATATCAACTGGAGAAGTGAAGATGCTTACGTGCATAGCTCGTCCAAAACAGGCCAGCGATGAATCGCTGAATCAACGTGAAGAGTTAGACCTCAATGGCCCACCAGGTTCTAAGCAAGCCATGAAATCCCTCACTTCTCAGGCAAATTCATCTTCTCATATCGATTATCAATTGCTTTCTATATATATATATATATATATATATATTTCTGTGTGTAGTGTGCGTGAATTAGGGCTAATGTTTGGTTTTTCAGATCAAGGATATGGCGCTGAAGGCGTCGGGAGCGTACAGGCACTGCAATCCGTGTACGGGGACGTTGACGCAGCAGCGACACAACAACTACGCCGAGTCGGACTCGGTGTCGGCGTCGGAAAGGTTCCGGTGGTCGTACCGTCGGACCGGGAGCTCAAACTCGAGCTCTACAAATCTGAGGCCTTGGGGAAAGGAAATGGAGGCGAGGCTGAAGGGGATTTCGAGCGGCGAGCGCACGCCGGCGTCGGCGAGTGGCCGGCGAGTTGACCCGATCGTGTTCGTCGAGGAAAACGAGCCTAAGGAGTGGGTCGCACAAGTAGAGCCAGGTGTTCTCATCACCTTCGTCTCGCTTCCACGTGGCGGTAATGATCTCAAGCGTATTCGATTCAGGTCACCACCTACTGATCTCTAATCTCATTTTGAACGCTCCTGATTTGTTTGATTAAATGCTTAGTATTTTGAGACGCGCCGGTCTTTTATTTTATTTTTAATTTTTTCCCGATACGTGCCTGTCTTAACTAGATAAATGACTATTTTGCTGTTAGTCGCACTGGACGGAATTACCCTTGAAGTGTCGTATTAACGTTTGGTGAAGAGTGTAGAGGATTGTTTGGATGCTTATTTCTGAAAATGCATAGTTTATACAACTGTTTACACACACATTTTTCCTCTTTACTTATTATTATTATCTTTTTGTTGGTTTTGCTTAGTTGGAAGAATTTGTGATTTGTTGCACGGTATTTGGTAGTATGTATTTATTGTTTTTAAAAGCAAAAATCGGTTTATTTTGGTTATCAAAAGCAAAGGGAAGTGCTTTCAAAATTGTTAGAGGAAAGATTGAGCTTTACATTTAATCAAATTGTGTTGTTTGGTTATGACAAGAATTTCTATATATGTATCTAAATTACCTTCACAAGCCTTTGCATTGTTAAAGAAATTCCTATGTATGATGTGTGGGTAACAATGGCCCCATTTTACCATAGAACCTCAAAAGGTGACACCAAACACAATTAATATTGGTTTCAGTGGTCTAAGCAACACAGGCTGTTAGCAATTATTACAAAAAGCGTGTTGATGCAATTATAGGAACTCCACCCAAACACAGCCTTTTATGACTTCTGTACATTTGAAAATTTTAGCGGGTTTGACGGTAATTCTACCCGCCATCATGGCAAAGGCAACCGAAATTAATAAGGTCACCTTTTCAAAGTCCAAAAGGATTACTCAGTGCCATCTAGTGGGCCTGAATTGATTATGTTGGAAAAAAGCCTTTACAAGTGCTATTGCTGTGTCGGGGGACTGGTCTTGCTTTCTTTTTCAATCTTCATCACGCCTATTCTTTGTTTCGTTGTCATTTTGTGAGTGGTTTGTTGTCATTTTGTTTGTAAAAAACTTGGACTTGACTTCACTGTCATATTGATGGTTTAGCTGCCACACCCGAACTATAGTGATGACAAAAGGTGAACCTGAATTATTATGCTATACTACCAAAGGACATCATGTCAAAGTCTTGTTTTCTAGGACAAAATAGCACAATGCCCTAGGACAGCCTCCTCCTGTGGTGGTACGCGTAGAGCATCCATGATGAACGGAGAAGAAGATTATTACAGAGAACATTGTTAGTGCCCGGATAATGGTGATCATGAAAACATCCGACCACTTACGTAAAATTCCAATTAACCACATATTCTTGAATGAACAGTCTTCTAGCATCCTTGTACCTTGGATTAACTGTAACCGGAAACATGTTCTAGTTTCTTGATTTTAATTATTTGGTTGCTTGCTCTCGAAACGTAATCAAGCTACTTATTCATTACTAAAGCCCACCATAGAAAATATGTTCCATTTTTTATTACATGCACTAAGGGCAAAATTTGAGATGGGGATCCTTTTTCTTAAAAAAGTTTGGGTAGGTCCACTTTGGGGGCCTAACATAATTAATTACACTTTCAAAAAATCACCAACTATAATGCTTAGGATTTATTTCACCATGATGGGTTTGAGGCTTCTAAGCAATAGACTTCTGTTTACTGTTCATAAATTATAATGTGTGACATGAATGATGCAACTACTTATGATTTTAATTATATATTTTCAAACCTGGGCTTCATGCCCATAGCACTAAAATAAGGCACTTTCATCACCACCACACCGGTGGTTTGATTGCTTCTACATTTTTTACATGAATATGCAGCGGTATGTTAATCTAGAATTCTGATTAATACTTTATTTGCATTGAGTAGTCGTGAAACATTCAACAAATGGCAAGCTCAAAGGTGGTGGGCAGAGAATTATGACAAATTAATGGAACTCTATAATGTTCAGAGATTAAACCGCCAAGCTTTTCCTCTCCCGACACCTCTGAGATCTGAAGATGAGGTGAGCTCTGAGCCTAGTAAGCTCTTAGAATCATGACTGAAAATTGAATTTGAACTGATTTTGTATTGTCCATAATGCAATTTAAGACATTATCATTAATAACTGGAGGTTGTCAAACTTAAATTTATATCGACTGGTTTTTCTGTTCAACGCTTACCATAAAATCAGAATTTCTTTCTTTTTTTTTTCCATGTCAATAATGTCATTTTCCACCTCTTGCAGAATTCGAAAATTGAATCTGCCGAAGGCAGTCCTGTAACACCGCCGCTGGGTAAAGAACGCCTACCTCGTACCTTGCACCGACCAATGGGAATGGGATACTCATCCTCTGATTCACTTGAACATCACCCAATGCAATCTCGCTATAACTATGATTCTTGTGGTGTCAACTCAACCCCCAAACTCTCAAGCATCAGTGGAGCTAAGACAGAAACATCATCAGTAGATGCCTCTATAAGAACTAGTTCATCAAGAGAGGTCGACCGCTCTGGAGAGTTATCTATCAGCAATGCTAGTGATCTAGAGACTGAATGGGTTGAACAAGACGAGCCAGGGGTTTATATTACAATCAGAGCACTGCCAGGCGGAACTAGGGAGCTGAGACGTGTCAGATTCAGGTTAATTTTCTAATGTGTTAACTCTGTTGTCTTAGTTGAAGCTCCTCAGGTCGGCATACTTTGTGGCAATTCTATTTTTTAGGGTAAAATGATGGTTTTCTTTAATAGAAAGTGTTCAATTTAGGAAATTCACTCTATTTTGAAGCAATAATGTAACAATAAGGACAGGATACAAGAGTTTTTATACAGAACTTTATAATATACATGATTATTAGATATACTAAGTGCATGTCTCATAAGATTTGTTGGACACACATCTCATACTCATGTCCAATCGTTAGGGTGGACACTGATACTTCACTCATTTAGAAGAGTCGATATAATATAGTCTATTGGTTAAATCATGTAGTGCCAGTTCCTGTAGTTCCTCATTTCTTTCCTCCTACTTTAGGTTCCAATTTTTTGCTTTTTCATACTAAAGGAGCATGACTGAAAAGCTTTTTTCTTACTGCTTTACTTCATGGGGGTGAATTAATGGTTATATGGATTTTAAGGAGAAAATCTTGAAGATGGTAAGACCTTTCTACACAAGTGATGAACTTTTCTGAAGAAGAAATGGTAGAATGTAGCATTACTCTAGTCCTGCTGGTCACTGTTGGATTTTCCAGCCATTGCATGACCACGTTAATTCAGTCATCTTAACACGATCATCCCATCATCATTTGATACATTAACGATTACAACTAGTGAACCCTTTTTTATGGCTAACTTGAATCTGTTTTAGTGGGTTAAATGTTATAAAGTCCAATTACTTGAACTCTTCTTGTAGTTGTCATATGAAGGAGACAATACCTGAGAAATATTTAAGGCATCATAAATTAAAAATTGCCCTGTCAATAAGGGGACCATTCTATTAAGTCAGCTAGTCTCTAGTGGGTCATAATCTAGCCATGTTAATTCGCAATCGGTATTGGTAGCTTTTTTTGACAGTTCAGTCAATGAACATGGGTGTTGCTCAGACTATAATTGATCTCAAGAGTGAAGTTTGTGGGTTCCAGATCTTTAATTGCTTCTTGATTGAATTGAGAAAGATCCACTACTAGGTAGAATGGGGCTATTTTTTTTGGTTTAACTGGTGGGGGCTTGTTGCAGTCAGGCACTTTAAGATAATCCAATATCTCTTATGAATACTAACTATAATATTAAACCGATCCTTCTTCCATAGGTTTTTGTTTGACTTAGGAAGGATGGTCCATGTTTAAATTCTAGGCCATTAATTGAGGTTCCACTTATTGCTAACCATGCGACTTGAGTTTTCAGCTTCCTAAGCCTATTGTTTTGAAGAAAATTGTTAATGGAATTATAAAATTACACAGTTTATGCTGCTTTTGCTCTCTCTCAACCCTTGAGTCTTGAAAATTAAGTTTAGCAGGAATTATATGGGTGGCCATACAATGATCAGTTATTGTCTTTTGTTTATCATTTTATTTTGAGATGTATTAACTTGTTTCCATTTATGCATGTATGCTGCAGCCGAGAAAAGTTTGGGGAGATGCATGCTAGACTATGGTGGGAAGAAAACCGGGCCAGGATACACAAACAATATTTGTGATTGACATTAGAGGATGGCTGCAGGTGGTGGTGGTTTGCTGATCAGGGAGGTGGTGACTTCTATACTTTTGTTCTGTCATACCAATGAAGTGTTTGCATCCATATAAAGAAGAATCCCGGATTTGAGATTGCTTCAAAGCATCCTTGTGGTTTGTGAATTTTATTTCCTTCTTTTTTTTTCAAATTAAGTTGTATAAAATTATGATGGATGAAGAGCACCCCGGTTTTGTATTTGGGTTATAATGGTATAGAGAATGTTAAATTTGGAATTAGAGAACAATATTAGTACCGATAGGTGGAAAACTTCTCTTTACTCTTTCCCTCTGTTTTCCACTGGTAACAATAATTTTTTTGGGTAGAGTACGGGTAAACCCTAAATCCTAATTCTATCTTACCTTGTCCTCTCATCCCATTACTCCACCTACCATCAACCATCCAGCCGTCTACTTTCCCCCTTCCACCTTCTCTCTCCGGGCGGGGTTGGACGGGGGTATTGAGATCGAAGGAATAGAAAATAGTCTTGCTTCATCTCAAACCCGTCCCGTTGTCATTCCCAACTAAAGTATGAGTTAATAGAATTCATGAAAGCCAAGGCTGTTTGAGAGAGTGGCAGTACTGAAATAGCTCTCATCACTGCCGTTGGCGTTGGTCTTATCTTAGTTTAGAGAATTGAGAGCCTGTGTAGATGTTCCTTGAGACCTGTCGAAAATGGGTTAAGAGTATGTTAAACTAATAAGTATCCAATGTGAGAGACACCTCATGTTGATGTGAGCACCTGAATTTTATTCTAAATCAAGTTTTGTATTTCAACAAAATGGTCAGATTTTTGAAATAACATAGCGCTTATAATTGTTTATACATTAACCTTGGAATATTTCTCAAACTAGTTTAGTTTCGAATGTTAACTCAGACATGCGATGGAATTGATAATGATCCTATTGAACCTTTTAGTTGCATGGATGATAAAATCATATGCAATAGTAGATTCAAAGGAGGAATATGAATTCAGCTGAAGGAACATCATAAATTACAGAATAATTCGTTGAAATGATCCCCTTGTTAACTTCTTCACCCTAGCAGTGTTTTCTATCGTTTGAATTCCAATAAAGAGTAATAAATACATCCTCCAATGATAAAACCACACAGTAGCCATCACTGAGTTGGTCCAGTTCAGTTGGGCTTTGATGCGTATCTTCTTAATGAACTCATGGGCCTCTTGATCACATCCCTTACAAGTTGCAACCACATGCAGCTAAAGTTATATGAAGATATGTGTAACATAACTATTTATAAATATGAATTTTTATTTATATATACATTTATTGAATAATAGTATTATAAAATTTTAATTAATTTATAATATCTATATTAAAAGTGATTTTGAAATGATTTAAAAAATAAAATTATGTCATAATTGAAGTGTCTTTTATACAGTATATACACTGTCATTTCATTATTTTGTTATAATAGTATTTATGCTAATTTTTTTAAAAGAAAAAAATTAAACACTTTAGCATGTGTTCGTGTTACTGGTATACTTGTATCATAAATGTTAAAAAAGTGTCTAATTAAGTGTTTAAAAAATATCAACGACCAAGTGTTTTACATAATAAAATTTAATTTTTATTTATGAACACATGTATAATATCGGATACATATTTAAAGAGTGTCTCAAAAATATCGGCCTCAGCGGGACAAGGCTGTTTTACAGGTGAAAGAGAAAATATGACCCATCGTATAGAATGGGTCCCATGGTGGAACCCGTGTTGCTGATCTTATTTGATGGATGCTATCAGACAATTGGTACTGTCAAATTTGACTAATCAAACTTAGGTAGCTCAATCTTCCTCGTTGAGACAATTTTAAAAGTCAAGATTTATCAGCCCTTAACTTGCTTTTTTAGTTCTAACATTTCACAACACTTAATTTTTTAGTTCTAAAATTTCACAATTGTTCAATATGAAACGTTGGATGCGATGAATTTGACCAGTACGTTAGTCTTTAGGAGGAATCTCATTCAAAAGAGTAAGAAAAAAAATGATACGAGTATTTGGTATTTGACTATAGGGCTCAAAACATGACAACAAAAGAGATAAAAGATAACCTCCTCCCCACTACATGAATTCATTCTGGGTTGGATCCTATCATATTTTTATGTTTTTCATTTTTTTTTTTCTAAACATCAAATACTATTTTGTGAATAATAATACAAAATGATGACAAAATTTCAGTCACCAAGAATTGTAACTTATGTGAGCCCTCCACAAATGCATCTAATAACTCAAAATGTCCTAATATTTCACCTTTCAAATTTAAATTTCAAAATATCAATTTCATTCTACCAAAAATAACATTGGATTAATTTATATGAAATTCAATTCATAACATCTTCATTTTTTTCCTCTCTCAAAATATTGAAGAGGTAAACCAGTAAAGGTAATGAAGCAACTGGCACTGGCAGCCTGGCAGTACCTCAATTTCGATTCTAAAAATCTACACGCACGCGCGGATGCTCCTTTTAAGCCTCTTTCTATACAGAGAGAGAGGTAAGAATACACACAGTGGACACACACACTCTCTCTCATCGCTTCTCTTTATACTCCCAAAATCCAAGCCGTGGCATTTGGCTTTACACTCTATCATCTCTCTCATCTCACCAGCAACTACGCATCAAAGACTGTGTCATCAGGACTCATGTTTTTCCATCCATGTCAATCAACAGCAAATCTCTGTTTTCTCTCTCCTACTCTCTCTCTCTAAACGTAAATGACATTCCTTCCATTTCTGTGTTCATTCACATGATCTCGTATCCTTCAATTAATGTTTTCGCACTTCTCGAAGTTCGTAGATCAGACATTTAAAGCTCCAGACTGACATCGCCATTCAATTTTCTAACTTAACCTTCTCTACCTTTTTCTGTGCTTCGATACTCTTCCGTTTCTCATCTCTATCTATCTCTGTTTGCGTGAATTTTTGGATCAAAGACATGATGAATACAGGGGAAAGGTATCAACAGCGAAGAAAGACGCCGTCGTTTTCTTCAACTCTTCTCGACGCCATTTACCGTTCCATCGACGAATCCAACGGAGAAGACGAATTGGTGCAAGCAGAGTTGTTTGTCGGTAGAGAGAGAAAGAAGCAGAGCAAGACTAGCTTCAAACGAAACAATGCTTCAGAAGATGAAGAAGAGATTGCGAGTTTTCGACGCGCTATCATGATCGAGAAATGGATGGAGAATCACAGTGACGGTACTCGAATTTCTATACTGAACAATTCGGCCTCAAGCTCCTCAGAGTCTAGCTGTGGAGGCGTGTTTTCGTCCTCCGAAACAGAGTCCACTCACAGAGACAGATCAAAACCATCGGTTTTCACAGTGCAGAGACCGAAACAAATTCGAACCGCCGTTTCGGAGAAGGCAACACAATTCGAGCAAACGCCAAAGCGTGAAGGACGGTTCATGAGGACGAACCTCAAAGCTTTGAAGATCTACGGTGATCTGAAGAAGGTTAGACCGCCGATTTCACCTGGTGGCCGGATCACTAATTTTCTCAATTCACTTTTCAATTCAAAAAATGCGAAGAATGCGAATCGCGAAGCGCTCGAAAATTTGAGTTCAATGCGAAAATCGAGATCGGTGAAGGAATCAACCACATCGACATGTTCGTCGGCGTCTTCGTTTTCGAGGTCTTGTTTGAGCAAAGCACCTTTTTCGAGAGGTAAATCGCCTGGTAATGGAATGAAGAGGTCCGTTAGATTCTTTCCGGTGAGCGTCATCGTCGACGAAGATTGTCGTCCCTGTGGACACAAAAGTATCTATGAAGACGATCCGAGCCTCATGCCGATTCCAATTGTCAGAAAAATTGCCGAGGCTGCAACGCTTAGGAAAGAGCTCAAGAACAAGTTCATGGAGGAAAAAGATTCAGCCTCTTATAATCTGAGAGATTATAAAGAGAAGAGGATGAATGCGTTTGAATTGAGAGATTTTCAAGATGAAGAAGACGACGACGACGACGACGACGTTGAGAGTGATTCGAGTTCTGATCTGTTTGAGCTCGAAAACATCGGTGCGATCGGTATGGGAACCTACAGAGAGGAGCTGCCGGTGTACGGAACGACTGATCCGAAGAAAAATCACGCCATTGCGAATGTGGTTTGAATTTGTAGTTAAAAATGCATCTTCGAAAGAAAAAAAAAATGGAAAAATAATCCAATTAGCCACGTAATAACTTGTTTGGGGATGCATATAAGAATTAGTTATATTTTGTTTGGATTAGTGTCTTTCCTTTTCTTTGTCTTCTCTCCCTCTTGTTTTTTTTTTTCCTGAATTATTCAGTTATGTTTAGGTTTGGTTTTGACAAATGAAATTGTTATTGTTAACACTGTTTTAATTGCTTTCATGGTGTCAGTTCACATATATTATATTTTCCCTTTCCTTCAATCCTTCCTCCCGTGGATGGTTTTCCTTTCTCCTTTCCTCTTATTCCTTTCTTTTCTTGACCATTTATCCATCTGGTAGTCCTTCTTTACTCTTCTTTCAAGCCAACATTCATTCCTACCAAAAGACCTCTAGTATTCATACACCAATGGTTTCTCATACATCTACATAGTGAAATCTTCAAACTTCTATTTGGAAGGACATAACACTTGGCCTAAACTCTTGATATTGTAGTTCTTTCGGCAAAGTCCTTTCGTTTGGATGGGATGATTTGGATTATCCTTTATTTTTTCTCTCTCCAAATTTGAGAATTAAGAAGACAGGAGAAAAAGGAGAAAAATGATAGTATTTAAGTAGTATTTTTATAATTTTAGAAATGCTCTTAACAATTAAAAAGATAAAATTATAATTTCACTCATATCTTTTCTATTTAAAAGGATATGACAGTAATTTGGTTATTATTATTTCTCTTCTTTCTTTCCCTATACCATATTCAAAGAAGAATACTATCATTTCTTTTCTTTTCTCTAATAATTAATATCATCATTTCTTTTCTGTCTCGTCTCTTCTATGTATCCAAACAAAGTCTAACCATTCGGTAAGTTGTGCATGATTTTAAGGAAAGAAAAAAAATCTGACAATTACGATAACTAATATATACATCTTTGAATATACATAAAAAAAATATGTGCAAGTTGTATCATACTTTTTTACGCCGATTTTGTTTTTGTTCAGTTATATTTGTTCCTGTTTGTTTTGTTTTTGGCTCGCCTAAGTAGATCTGTTGTTTTTCTCAGGCTAGATCTCTGATCTAGACCGGTTTGGATTTTCCTCGCCTAGATTTGATCTTTCTCTTCATGATTGGATCTTATGCGGGATTTTGTGTGCGTCGGAGTGAAATAAATGATTAATTTCTTTTTATACTTTTAAGATGTAACTTTTGATGGCAGATTGGCAGGTCGAGTGACTTTTTTTTAACGCATATAAACCTCTCCAATTTTACCTTCTTCTTATCTATAAACTGAAGGGAAAAAAAACGTTGCAAGAGATATCATCTAAATTAGACAAATGATGATGATAAGACAGTTGTTTAATATTTCTATAACTCATTTTATGTAAAATCAGTTGACAATTCCGTACCACAAACCAACTCATTTCAGTGCACAAGCGTATATCTCATATTCTGCTTTAATTTTGATTTCTACTACAGCTTGAGAAGCTAAAAGTAAAATGTATTCACACCTTTATCCGTATCCATAAAGCTCTTTAAAAATGCAATGTGAAAAGAGAGAATATTGTAAAAAGGGCGACATACTTTGTTACCAAAATTTTCAGAATCTCACCTACGAGAAAGCTGGGGGACATAAATTATGAGGCAGTTTGGCTGGGCTTTTTGTAATTTCAAAAAAGGGTTCCAAGCTCAAAAAGTCATTCGTCAATAATAAGAAGTATTTGGTGAAGTTTTTGAAAATAGACTTTTAAAAAGTTTAAGTGGTTTAGGAGTCTGATTGATCAAAGCCTAAACATGTTTGCTAAAATACAATTTATTTTATTTTATTTTATTTTACAATTGGTGCACACACATGCCTACACTAAGATTCGAACCCCTTACCTCCCTTTGGGAAGTAGAGGACTGGTATCACTAGGCCACAAGCCTGTTGGCCTTACTGATCCACATCCACTTCCCGCAAGGTACACACTTTTTTTTAAGTATGATGATAAATTCCAATGTTGTTCATTATTTAACCTATTTTTATTTATTATGAATTCATTCCAAATTGTATCATCTTCTTCATTCTTCTCCTCTGTCAGGAAAAAAATAATAATAAAAATAAAAATAAAAATTTTAGAGCAAAATTTATGGCATAATCTGCCTCATCGTATTCTACGCAATCTGAATTCACGGATCTTTATTGGAAAGATTGTTGAAAAACAATTTAATAAAGATTCGTGAGAAATCTGGTTTTTCCCTTATTTCAACATATCATTCCTGGTTTCATTGCTGGCTAATTGGTAATATGTTGATGTGAAGGATCCTAAATTGGTTAAAGCATCACCTAGAACCAGTTGTTATTCCTAATCATAACATTGATCTCTTCCATAAGAGAAGCGCCACTGAGAGCACGTTCACCGGCACTTGTTGATGTAGTTGGAGAAGAGAATCGGTGTTATTTTAATTATAATTTTGCCCTTATTTAAAAAGGGAAGAACATAAGACATTGAAGAGTGCACCAAAAAAAATCCCATTTAACTTCAAAAATTAAGAAGCAGAATAGTTACAAGATATATGAAATATCATCCAAAATTCAATCCTAATTAGAATTCTAAAAACTTTTATTTCTCTCAATATATATATACATAATATATAATATTTTTTGAAGGCTACCTATAGAATAGAAGTGCAATATTTTTGCTGCAATCTCTCTCTATGGTTTTATTTTCCTTTCCTTTTCTTTTTCCATCTCTTTAAGCTCCTATCATGTAGTCCACTAAGAAAGAAAAAAAACTTTATAGATTGGGTAAATCTATCTGTATACCCTAATCTTGGCTTAGTCTCGTTTTGATTGGTAATTTTCACTCCATCACTTTAATTATTGTTTTTTTTTTCTTCCTTTTCTTTCTACGTGCCAATTATACTCTCGGCTAATATTTATAGATTATTAAGGATATAATTGTCAATTTAAACTACGTTAATAATTAAAAGGACTTTAAAAAAATACACCTACCAAACAATTTTTTTGTTTTAAATTCTTTTAATCAAAATGCATTCTACAAAGGTGATTCAGTGGAAAGGGATTTTAGAATCAGAATGCTCCCCCAAATAGGGCCTATAAATATTTGATTATGTTTAGCATTTTCACACATTTGGTGAATATATATATAATTATATACAGGGGCGGAGCCAGTATATGCCTAAGGGGCATATGTCCCCGCCCCATATTATATATATGGTTCATTTTAATTATTTATATATATATATATATATATAGACATTTGTATATTATGCTTCCCCTAAATTTTCAAAATTCTTTGGATGCGAAAATAAGAAAGCACAGACATATATACATGGTTCGGCACTAAGGCCTATATCGATAGACAAAGAGCCACTAAGGGTTACATTTTTGTTATTCAGATCTATATATTGCTCGAGTACAAAGAGCCTATATATAGTCATAGTAAACAATAGTCAAAGGAAGCACCACGACCATGATTGGTGGAGGATTTTACTCTACCGTTATATAGAAATATTTATAATTGGAAGAAAATTAACCGAATCACCATGATTAGAGGAGGATTTTGCTCTATAATTATATAGAAATATTTATATATTTCAACACTTCCACTCAAGTTGATCCAGATTTATCGCAGCTTTCCAAGAATTTCAATGTTTGAATCGATCATATTGTTAGAATTTTTTCCTCGGAGCAGCTTGCCAAACAAAGGCTAAGAGAAAGAAGAGCACAGGTATGACTGGCATAACATTCACGATTGGATTGGAGCATGAATATCATGAATGCCCAACTTGCTAAAGAAAATCCTTGAAAGATGATGAAAAAGTGTCCAAAACAAAGCCGGACCAACACCGAGAAAGGTTAAAACTAAGCCAGAAAATGGCCGGAACAACATACGACGGGAAAAACCATTTTAACGCTGGGAAAGGAATGTGAAGACATAGAGAATATGGTCTACGATAATAATTCCAATACTCCCCCTCAAATTTTAGATGGGATTACAAGTACAATTGGCTCTGATACCATGTTGCAACGCATAAAACATAAGTGAAAAGAGAAATTAAACAAGAAGAATAAAGATATTAAACAAGAAGAATAAAGATATTACGTTCAACCACTCGAGCTTACATCCACAACATACAAAGCCCAAAGGGTTACATCACTTTTTATTATGAACTCTTTTAATTCATATACAATACAATGGTGGAAGCTCATTTATATAAGAGAAAAAATTATAAGAATTGAAAGAATTAGAAAATAGGAAATAAAGAGGATTTTTTTTCATTGATTCCTCTAGTAATACCAAAATTTAAATAATAGGAAAGAATATCAATTACTGAAAGATTTTTCTTCACTAATTCCTCCATTAAATCTTCGTCTTCGTCTTCTTTTTTCATCATTCACAGTTGTTGTTACCTGTCATTTCAATGGCAAGTTGGGTATTCATACTCCAACTTGAGAGGGAGTATTGAAGATTTAATCGAGGAATTGGTGGAGAAAAATCTTTCAGTAATTGATATTGTTTCCTCTTATTGAAAATTTGGTGTTACTAAAGGAATTAGTGGAGAATAATTCTCCTTGTTTTCTATTTTCTAATTCTTTCCATTCTCATAATTTTTTCTCCTATATAAAGGAGTTTCCACCATTGTATTGTATATGAATTGAGAGAGTATTATAAAAATGATGTAATCCTTTGGGCTCTTTGTACCTGAACCACGTAATCTCTTTATTCTTTTTGTTTAATTTCTCTCTTCACTTATGTTTTATACTTTGTAACATGGTGTCAAAACCTAATTTCTCTTCCTAGGTACGAACCCTTATTTCGGGGTATTCCCTTAGCATCTGAAATGTTGCTAAGGGTTTTTCGGTGCTATTTGTTACTTATTTGGGCTGCCGGTTTGTTCGGCAGTAATGTTCTTCGCCTTTGCCGTGTCTCCGACAGTTTTTATCCACTTGTTTAAGTCGCCGCCGGTGTGTTCGATAGAATTGTCCTCGCCTTTGTCGTGTCTCCTGTAGTTTTTGTTGACTTGTTTGGGTTGCCAGTGTGTTCGATAGCATTGCCTTTATCTTTATCGTGCCTCAAGTAGTTTTTATCGACTTGTTTGGGCTGCCGGTGTATTTGGTAGCATTGTCATCGCCTTTACCGCGTCTCCGGTAGTTTTTTGTTGATTTGTTTGAGTTGTCGGTGTATTCGGTATTATTGTTCTTCG